TTTTTTTTTAAGGCTAGTAATAGAGGATCATCTTCTAATCACTCTATTTTGCCTACTACTGGGCAAACAGATGCATTTTGTTTGAATTTCAGAGAGCTGAGTTGGGTAAGAGAATGTTTGTGAATGGGCCATATATTTGTGTTCTCGGTTTTGGACTGGAATTAGCTTGCAATAGAGGCTCATCCGTCCACCGACAGGCTATAAAAAGTTGGCTGTATTAATGGAGTAAAATGACTGACTGAGCTTTTGTTCAGACCAAAGTGGACGTAATAACGAGGTGGCCATATTAACGGGGTGACAGTAAGGCGGGGTTCCACTGACTGTAATTTACATTAGGAGAGATTCCCCACATTAGCCTCAGTTGCAAGCCAGTTCCAGTCCTATACCGAGAATTAATATGAATATGGTCTATTTGAACTCCCTATTACCAGTATTATGAAATCCAGTATTGGTAATACGCTAAAGATGTACAGTATAGCAGTTAGCTTCACTTAAGATTATTGGTAATACATTCCAGGCTAAGCAAGAGAGTTTCCAGAGACCTGAAAACAAGTAACTTCTACTTTGCAGTGAGAGGTTTAAGTACAGTAGATGTGTGTATGACTAATTCATCTTTTGCCTGAAAATTATTTGCAGGGGTTGAAGATGCCTTTTCTTTTACTTCAAAAGTAATGTCGCTATCATTTCATAAATTTTCCCCTGGATTTTTCCCAGGTATTACGACACTAAGTTTTGTTTGTTTCTTTGTCTAGTTATTCTTTTTGGTACAAACAATAACCCTAATAATAATCACATTGTGATGTGAAATTTTCGCATACAATGCATGGATATACAACAGTGATGTACAATTCTTGTTATATAGTCAAAAAAAAGACGAGCACTTTTTGAAACAAACAAGATAAATTATCCCCAGTGAATGTTTATGGTGAAACTCCAGAAACTAAGAAACCACTTGTGTCAAATGGAGTGGAAGCCATTGATCAAGTGTCATATCTATAGGCGACAACAGGAGACAGTGTTTTGTCTAATCCACTAGTTGCTCAATCAGACCTTGTACCTCAGTCAGTTAGTAGAGCTCAGCTATGAGGCTTGATAGCCAGTCTAGTAAGTAAAAACAATGCTTTTGCTGGACTGCAAGTGAAAGACGTTTTGTCTTGTTCATTTACAGGTACAGGATCACACTATGATGTGGGTTTTGGCAAAGGAAAATATTATTCCGTCAATGTGCCTCTGAAGGATGGAATCACTGACAAACCTTTCATTGAAATATTTTCAAGGTTAGCACAATACAACCAGACCATGTTTCTCTCTCTTCCTAGGAGGTCTAAATTTTAAGTCAGAGTCTGTACAATCATGTGAAGAGCTTTCAGAGCTTTTTGAGGATCAACTGAATATGCAACACTCTATAATAGTTTTCCAAAGGTCACTATCAATAAATTAAGAGGTTTAAAAATCTTCTTTCAATAATTGTGTTACAGAGTGATGTCAGAGGTCAAGATGAGATTTAAGCCAAATGCAGTTGTTTGTCAGTGTGGTGTTGATACACTGGCTGGTGATCCTATGGCATCTTTTAACCTCACCCAGCACAGTATCGGAGAGTGTGTCAAATACCTAATGCAATGGAACCTGCCATTGTTATTGCTCGGAGGAGGTCTGTGAAATGTCATTTTACATGTAGTAGCTACAGTAATTCCATTTCTTGACCATCCCACTTTGTTCATTCCGGAAGTTTTGTTAAGAATAAGTCTACTGTCCATAGACATGTCCGTATTGACTTATCAGACTATGAGCCCTAGTTTTCATGTTGTTTTCACAAGAGTATTCTTTTCATCTTTGCTGGTTTTGGCATTTGTCCTCAATAAAATTTTCAATTTCCATTTTAAAGAGAGGCTTGTTGGTGACATTTGCTTGTCTGATGTTATCATACATAACAGCCATTCACACTCCTTGTCAGAACAAGAGATAAAAACTGTTATGTCAGCTAATTGATGATTAATTGTATTTTATTCTAGGCGGATATAATGTAAAGAATGCTGCAAAGTGCTGGACATACTTGACTGGTGTGGCTCTGAATCAATCATTATCACTTGACATCCCAGAGCATGAGGTAATAACTTTAAGTGTTGTGAATTAGATTGAAAAAAATAATAATTATAATCCTTTAATGACAGGTGTGGCCTGTTTGAACTTGATGACACAAAAAGCCAAAGCACAGAACTGCGTTTTAAACTTAAGGGAAGATTTGATTTATTTAAAAGAAAAATAAAGCACACTCCCAACTACAATAACAAAATATTTATCTTTTCTTAAGTATTTCCTGACCTATGGACCAGACTACCAGCTTAATATTCCACCTGGAAGACGGCATGACATGAACACCACAGAAGATCTCAAAAATCTCCTCAACACTGTATCAGGTAATTCATTGGGAAATCCTATCTTATTAATAAGAACCACCCAGTAGTTCCTGGTTGGTGGTTTTATGGACAGGGTACCAAGTGATATACACAGTGCATTTCCTACCTACCTTATGCTAGTGAGTTCAACAGGGCCTTCCTCCTATTCTAGGCACCATGCTGTGTTATCTGTGGAGAACGTCAATAGACAACAAGCCCCAAATCACACATTGTATAACCAGTTTCTTTTGTTGTTTCTCAAGTGCATCAAATTCTTTCACAGTCTGTATGCTATTGAATGGCGTTGTCACTTATATCAGCCCCAGACCTCTCTGCACGTGCATCCTTTAAAATTTTTGTGGTCAAATTTCTTATTTTTTTTTTAATTATCCACTATTACTGATGTGTAAACGAGATACTAATATTTTTTCACGTAAAATTACCTTTCTATTTCCATCTTTGTAGGAAATCTGCGAAAGATTAGATGATGACACCTTTTTAAAAAAATATATTTAAAGTTGGATGTAACCATTTGATAATCTGCCTGATGCAGTGGAAGCGACCATGCATTTTGAGCTTCAAGAGTTTTTATTGTATAGTTGTAAACTAGTTGTATTTGCAGTCGGCTGGTCTGATTTCATTTGGAGTTTGCAGAATAAGCGTACCTGGCAAACAGGCATGCATGTCTTTTAACATACCCCAGAAGGGGTTGCCTGAGATTCAGTGTCTCTTATCACATAGCAAAAGAAGTCTATAGTGGTTCCTTGTAGGGTACGAAACTTGAACCACACCTAAACTATGAGTCTATGAATGAGCGACTGAATGGATCAACGTTCTTAAATGTTATCTAGTTTTACTCAACCTTTGCAAGATACCTTCAAGAAATATCGTGGAAGAATCACCTGTTTTACGAGATTTCAAACCCAAAATTATTGTTTAACCATGTTTTTGTTTCATACATGGAGCCCCCTCTAACATTATTGAGACACCGGTATTTATTTTTAACATTTCCTGAATGAATGAAATACTTCCATAATAAAAAGAATATGGAATATTTATTTTTATACATCAGTCAATCTAATTATACAGTATACAGTACATAGTATTACATCTGCTGTAAGCATAATAGATATATTGTCATCAGAAGTTGTGATCAAACAGAACTCTGATAGTTGGTAGGAAGTCTTTTTTACAATTATATTTTGCATAAAGCAGATACTTTTGATTCTAATTAATGGTGACACCAAACACTTTGTAATTTTGTCAGGTTGCTGAAAAAGAGTGATTGATTAAAGAAAGTGTTCATCATTCAATGTGTACTCAGTCATCAGGTGTGAATTCTGGTAGCCATTTTCATCGTCAGGAAATTTTGTACATCGTGGAGGAAATTCAGAATTTCCTGTGAAAGTCAAGGGATTTGATTTAACATTGCTGCAGGTGTTGTTAGCATCTGTTGTTGATCATTACCATCTCGTTATTAATAATCAATTATTTTCTGCACAAGAAATTGTCATAAACTACAAGGTTAAATTGGCTACTAATTTTCTTTGATCAGTCACAGTCTCCGTGAAAAGTCAACAGTATCCTTTCATGGATGCCATTTGCTAAATTTGTTTGTTCTTTCTTTAATTCTCATATTAATTAACTTCTAGCAACCTGTAATTATTCGGCTTCAAGAGTCCTCATGGGCCCGATGAGGATGAGTGAGTGAGTAACCTGTAATTATATAAACTCATTTCCCATCTTACATACACATTCCTAAAAATACAAGACATGTTCCACATTTCAAGTTATAGAAGTATGAGTGGAAGTTTGGGAGAGAGAGAAATGCTGTGGGAACAAGCTGACAGGAGTGTTTCCATAGCTTTTTCAAGTTCTCCCAAACTTTCACAAGTGTTTCTATTAACGGCGGTCCTTCTTAACTACAGATTTAGGGCTGTTGCTATTAAGGGATTGCTTAAGGCGATATTCAGAGGAAAACTATTTTGGCCGTGATTTGAAACTTTTGCAGGAGTCTTCAATGAAACTAATCTGCACAAAAAGCTTATCCTTAGCAGTTCTGGTTTTCAAAATTTGACAGTTAGAAACCTTCCTTACCAACAAATTCATGACCAACCGGTAGTTAAGAAGGACCTCCCTTAAACAATTAGATCATGAGCTCAAGACTTCTATTGCATGATAGTCAACAAAGGGGCAGCCCGAGTCAACTATCACTCATAGAAATTGAGAGCAAATAATCTAATTGTTTTGGTATAAATCTACTAGCCATTTAAAACTTTATCTAAATCCTCTTCACAGACACTTCGAGAACGTCAAGAGTGGCTGTCATTTTGTTAACACAGGCACACTGTTAGGCTACTCACTATCACAGAATAGATGGTGAGTAGCGTAGCCAATCAGAGAAATGGCATTTGTGATAGAATGCTTGTAGATTTATACTAAAACTCGATAGAAACACAGAGAACATGTCTTCTATTTCTATAGAAATTCCTTCCCCTATTGTCATGCTTGTAGGCAAAATGTACATCTGAAAGCAGTCTAAACAAGACACCTACCACATAATTAACCAAACAAACAAGTTTTAATTACATAAAAAACTACTCCGTACAATGTAAAAATATCACTGATTTCAAACAAATATGAATGAAAAATATTGAATATGTGCATTAAAAAATGTCTAATTATTTTACTGTACAAGAATAATATATAAATAAAATTTTAAGAAAGGCTTTCAAAAATACATTGTAAAATACTACTTCACACCTAAGCATTAAAAAAACTGGCTACTTTTTCACTTAGTTTACAATCATACAAAACCTCTCAAGACATACAATAATTCATGTATAAATTCTAACTTTGTAAAAATAAGTTTCCAAATGGCTGTTCAATTCCTTGCCAAGGTCAATGTCCATAAATAAAATTGTAAAATTGAAAATAATAATAATTGTCTATCTGCAATAGAGAGTTCTGTTTGATCACAACTTCTGATGACATCATCCATGTGTACCAGGAAGTTGCAGCACAGGCGATAGCAGATCAGCTGGTTGCCAGTGATCAAGATTTTTTACTTCTTCAATTTCTTCCCGTTTTAATTTTTTCTTCTGCTTTTCTTCAAATGTGAGTCTGAAATGGACAAATAATATATAGATTTAGCCAAGCTTGAGTTTTGTAACTTTGCAGTGAGGTTTTCTATTTATATTTTTGGTTTTCTCTTTTGAGTTTCAAAAATCTCAAACTACACAAAACAAAAGTAGTGAGAAACACTTGTATACCCTCCGAACAACCTGGCCCTGATTAACAAGTTAACCTGAAATGAGCCCATGATCCAATCAAAAACCAGTACTTGGTCAGTGGTCAACTTTAAAATAGTAGGTGACCTTGCTGAGCTCCAAACCTCAGCCCTCAATATGGTCACATGAAACTGGTCAGCAGATACCTTGTTTTGACAGCTGTAAATTGACCATAACATGGATGTCCAATATCAAATATACATGCTGTGAACCAACTTAGGCTGCATACCTGGGTCAACCTATTAGCTGGAGTATGGCAGCCACGTTGCACAACATCGTTGTTGTTGGGCGCATGTGCCCGCAATCCACTCTGCTAGCCATGTTGACCGTGAAAATAGAGTTGCATGGTTTTCTATTTCTAAGCATGCATGCGGTTCTGTTCCTATAGTTATGGGGCTCTGCTTGGCGACCCTTCACACAGCCAGAGCTCCTCTATGAGTGGGGGAGTTATTGGTATACCATAGCTAGTGGTCTAAAAACCATTCTCAACTTAACTTATGTTGCTGGGAATTAAGCTTTAGGGTGCCATGTGTGTTGGGAATTAAGCTTTAGGGTGCCAAGTGTAAGTGTCAGAAATTAAGCATGATCAAAGAAGATTTATAAACTTACCTAGGTTTAAGTGGTAAATCCTGAAGAGGAACAAAAGTGTCTGGAACACATTTTAAGGATCCGCTACAAACAAAAATAACACATTTTAACACTTTGCCCTCACTGATGGATTACTTGCCAGTTATGAGTCCCACAGTTCATCAGATATGAACCCCTGAACCACACATTTGATATATCTCTGCATTTGTTATGGTTAGGTTAGTATGAACTTCTGATGGTACCCTTTTCTGTTAAAGTAGTAAAAATGTGTTGTTTAGCTGTTGTAATCTACTGGAGTGGCATGTTATTGGTAAAATCCAGGATGAACCTCCCAGCCAGAAGTAGCACTATATTCAGAAATCAGAAATAAGTTCAGGCATGTTCAGGGAATAATTTGAACCTCTTTTAAATTATTAGCAGACACAAGTAACTACCACTGACTTTGAAATTATAAGGCACATATTTATCTTCCAGGTCAATTCTGTTGCACCTTGTGTATGCATTTGCAGACCTATTGGAGAAAATCCATATGCAATGCAGACCTACTAATAAATATTACACTCACCCAAAATTAATAACAGGTCTTGTGCTTCCCTGCTTGTGGAAGTCCAAAGAATATTCTGGAACTTGGTAGCTTTTGTCTCCTAGTGAGGCTATAGGGATACCATTTCTGTTCTCAAACACTGTAATGGCCGGCAAAACAAAACACAAATGATCTTATTGTTAACTATTGCTCTTACAAAATAGAGGGATCCTCTCCCTGGATCCTAGCTTCAACAAAAATTGAGGTTGGGTAGGTAGCTGTACTAAATTATTTAAAGGGATTTCAAAATGGCAGGTGGGTGGCTGTTGGGTGTGAGATACTGACCATATTTTAAGAGGATCAGAAGATTTCCATTTAGCAGCTAATTAAATTAAACTCCTAATCACANTCTTAGATCCCCTACCTCTGTGGAAATTCTAATTAAGCTCCATTGACTTTTTTTTTTTAATTTGTTTGGTCTTACAGAACCCCCACCCCCAAGGAAATTCCAATCCCGTCTGTAGGGGGATAGCCTGCGAACGCAGACATATTTCCAGTTATCACTTGGTTCCGCCGAAAAATAATGTCTGCAAACCCGAGCCAGGAAACGATTTCTGTGATGCAATGACTTTTGTTTCTCCTTGGCCAATCAGATTCCATGATAGAATGAAACTTGAGCACTCCTCGCAGCAAATACCTCACACAGTAGTTCTGGGGTTATTTGAGCTAAACTGTGATTAGCTTAGAATTCCTACGTCACAGAAATTGTTTTCTGTTTTGGGTTTGTAGACGTTATTTTTCGGTGGAACCAAGTGACACCCAGAAATACGTCTGCGTTCGCAGGCTAGTAGGGGGAGCAATGGATATTTTCTGGAGCTGCACATTAATTAGTAAATTAATATTTGATCTTAGAGATTTCTCAGTAATTGTAAGAAATTTAATTTATCCCCCAGAATAAGTACCTTGTTTCTTGGCCCCAACAGACATTCTTAAAGATATCTCTAGTGGTCTTCTCATGTAAATTCTCTCAAAGTCATCATAAGTGTCATATACAACAGTAGGCTGAACATATGCAGGTTTCTCCTCCCTTCCAGCACCAACTTCACTGGGTATCATTTCACTACCTTGCTCTCTGGTCAGTATATAACTTTCCTTTGTACTATGATTTACAGGTGCTTTTTCTTCTAGCCTGGGAGGGGACGGTCTTGTTTCTTCCAGGGATGCACAGCGAATACTTGAGACCCAGTCAAGACCATTGCCCCCTCTGAGGAACACAATGACAGAACATAGTAATATTGCCATTAATAATAAACTCAGCTGCAATCATGTCCCAAGTTAGGGTGTCAAGTAGTAAATTTGAGACTGACGGCAAGATGGATACCCTTTCTGAAAACTCAGTCTTGCGAAAGAAATTAAGACTGAGATATCAACACAAGCAGGATTTGAGACTGTGAGATCACTGAAATTTGATGCATAGCTTTTGAAGGGCCATTTGCCACTCCCCCAGGTTTCAAGATGAAAAATTTAAGGTTTGAAATCAAAGGGGACGTTAGGCACATTGGATTACAGGTGCCTAGAACCCACAAAATCTTCCACATGAACAACAGGCAAGGATCCCATTTTTCACAAAATTTTGCTTGTCACATTTACACTAATAAATTCATAAATTCATGCATCACATTTACCTTTCTTGTTAATTTTCACACACCATGCACTAGTTTTTGCCATCATCCAGGCATAAACCCTACCTTTGCTACCTTCTCCGTGAAGACCCTCCCAAACACTCTCATACCATAATGTAACCCTATGACCCCGCTGTGAAGCAAATGGCATCCTTGCCCAGCCCCCCTGTTCCCGGAGTTCCCTCCTTAATTATGTGTGTGCTAAGTACTTTTTATAAATAACTTATTGACCCCTTCTCACACATAACAGTGATTTAAACAAAAACTTCTCATAACCTTTATATAACAATTTTATGTAGGCAGGTTAGGAGAATGAAGACTCTCATCACTGCAGGAAGTCACTGGGGCCTAAGATTAACTGGGAAATAGAAATGAGAAAACCTCTGGAAACTGAACTGGACCTTGAACCATCTTTTTCAACAGCAAATCATGAAAATGTACGGAAAATGGAACGAAGATTTTCTTACGCTCCCAAGGGTTAAAAAAAAGAGTCCCACCAGATACTCACCTCGCTGTGTTGTCAAGTCTATCTGTCACTGAAAGAGCATTTCTAGGATGTGGCCTCCATTGTGGCTCGCCTATTGATTTACTTCCAAAGCCGTCTCTATAGTATGGTTTGATAACCGGGTTCACTAGCGGCACATCTATTAATTGAAGAACACTGCATGAAGTTCAACGCACACACATGGAATTCAACGCTCGATCACAACGCTGAGATTGTTGCCTTGTCTCCATATGATACCTATTATTTCAATTCATGGTTAACTCAATTAAGTTCGATGAAATTCCTTTCAACAGATAACGGCAAAAATCAAAGCTATAATTAAGGTAATAAATGGTGTTTGCCTTCGATCGCTCCTTCGATAGCGCGCGATATTACTGCGCGATGCTTGATTGTGTAAGAGACCAAACGTAGTTCGACATTTAGACATTTTGCGGGAAGAGTTTTTGAAGGAGTAATTGCCGGTTGAACCAGATTTTATTTTAAAGGGATTAATTGATTATTTATCGAAAGATCGTCATATATTTACCTCCAACATCAGGACGTTGGTGAAGAACGTAAGCCATTTTGATTATTTTGGTATTACACGTGTGGCGTCTTCACCATGGCAACCATCCACTGCAAGTCCCGCAACGATTTGCCTTTTCAAATGACCAAAAATGTTTATAAACGAATTTTTTTTCGAAGTTTCAGTCACAGATCTTGATAAAAATATATATATTTTTTTTTTTTTAAGAACGCAATAGTAAGAATATTTCGAACAACATTTCCTGCGGTCCATTTCGTCCCAGTCTCATCAAGTGCACGCGAATGGTTTTGTCTCAGAGGGTCTGAGTATGTGATAAATTTTTCAAATGAAATCACTTCCGTAGGCGACTTATAACAGCAAGCTATTTTCTTTCGTGGAAATAATCTTGTACCATCGCCAAGATGCGATCTAGCAGTGCTGGATCAACAGGAGTGAAACGGAAGGCCTCGTGCCTTGAAGCTGGAGAGTCGTCTTCATCTTCAAGCACAAGTTCAGCGATGAGTTCGCGAAGAGCTCTGATTAGAGCTTCGAATCGTGGAACGCTGAAGCGCGCTGGCCCTTATTTGCTTGGGCCAAGATTGGGCAACTCGCCGGTACGAAGCATTGTTCAATGCTTGGCTAAAAAAGAAGGTACAGATGATTTTTACTCCATCAAGATTCTTACGTTATCGGATCCCGGACGTGAGAGTTACGATGACAAACAAGGTAAAATGCTCTTACACACGGAGTATTCATTGCTTTCCCTTTTGAACGATCAAGATGGCGTTGTTCACCATCACGGACTTTTCAAAGACGAATATTACGAGGAAATCCCTCCCGAGAAAGAATCTGCAAACACAGCAGCAATTCATCGTTCTCAGAGTGCAGTTGCGAGACAATATCGAATTCGCCACCGTCTCTGTTTAGTATTGGATTGCCTTTGCGCCCATGACTTTAGTTCGGACACTGCCGACCTGATAAATCTTCAACATTACGTGATACGAGAGAAACGATTGTCCGAAAGAGAGACCGTTATAATTTTCCACGACATTGTCAGAGTGGTAGAGTGCTTGCATAAGGTAAGACTACAGTACGAAATGATATTGGGCTAATTATATCTGTAGTTTGTGTGGTGTATTTCCGTTTATTTGTGAAGGCAAAACCTTATTCTTTTAGTTTACCCTTTCAAGGCAATGTTCTCGCGTTTCGATTATTGGTTATAAATGAACTTTTAGAACGTTTCACAGCCAGTGCTCTCATCAAGTTTAGGTCAGCGCAGTAATTTTTTTTATTATTATTTTCAAACCTTATCAACACTTGATGAAAGATATCTTTGTTCTTGGAGCATAGATCCTTAAGGGTGCGTAGATTCGGGGAAATAATCTTTCGCGTGGGTGTTGATGTTCATTCGGTTGTTAATGTGTACTCTAATCACGGAATTTCCTCTTCAGTCTGAGTGGAACCGTCTGCTTGACTGTTGATTAAAACTGTTACAAATTTATTAAATTAGTCCGAGTGCAACGCATATTATATCAGAAGGTCTACAATGTACCTGATGTAATATACGAGGAACGAAAGCAATGTCTACAATAAATCGAATGTTTTCCGCGTGGATGGCATATGTCAACACCGAGATACAACTTAACAACCGACAGGGGCGTTCAAGCACATTCAATCTTTACGAGCTTCGTTTGAACAGCTTTACTCCTACGCTTTACTTGAATAGAAGTTTATTTGTTTTGTAATAAGACGTTGGTTACAGTGATTTTGACATTGCGAAATGTATTTTTTGATTTTTTCATTGAAAAAATCAAATGTAAAATGTAATGCAATGATCCTGTAATGAGATTAGTCCGCTTATCAATTTAACCGCAATTTCAAATTACATTTACCTGGAAATGTGCTTGAAAAAAGGAAACCGCTGTATTCACAAGTGTTTCTGTATAATTTTGAATTATAATTATGTCTGTACTATATTGTTTCTGTTCCCTTTTGGGTCTGTTTATGTAGTGTTGGTGGTTCTTCCGGAAGGGTCACCAACCAATCACACCCGTGTACTTGCCCCCCAGCTGGTGACAGAGCCATTGTTTTTGTTGTTTTTTCTCTTTTTGCATCTGTCCTTACCNTTCTCATTATTTAAATGTAATTTGTTTTCTTTGCAGAGAAACATAGTTCATCGAGACTTAAAACTTGGAAATATTGTGCTGAATAGAAGGTAACAAACAAAACGTTCCCACTACCGCCCAAATAAGTTCTTACTACCTTGAATAATTAATTTCAAATTCAATTATTGCTCAATGATTTAACCTCTTAAAGTACCTGGTTGTTTTTTGAATTATCTCAAAATGTTCCTTAAAAAACTTCACCTACCCGTTGGGCAAGCAAAGGACAGAATTGACTAGTCCAAATGCAAAATCTACTAGCCCAGGCTATTGGACATGACTGCATTTCCATGCTGCGAAATAGGAATGGAAAAAAGTCAGGTACATGGAATACCCGTTAGAAAAGTGAAGGAAAACCTGGGTTGATAGAGGGGCATTCTAGGACTACTAAACAGTGATCTGGCACACAATATAACTCAAAGAATGAGCAGCAGGCTAAAACTCAGACCTTTGATCCAAAGTCCAGGGTAGCAGCTATAAGGCAACTCCACCTATCACTCTGACTTCTGATTACAGCAAGGAATGGGAGGGGCGCTAAAACTGCAGGACTATTCCTTTTTTTGTTTGCTCAACTTCCCACGTCTCTAGCAATAGTTCAGAGAATAATCAAGAACGTTGTGGTACATGAACACCACATTGTTGCTTCCATCCTGCTGCTTGACAAGATGTCCATATATATGTGTAGTATTTCAATAAAGTGAAAAAATATAAATATTCACCGTACTTGAGAACAACACTGGATAAACTAGAAATATTTTCTACTTATATTTACTAGGGTTTTTTGTAAATGTTCTCTTCAGCACAAAAAGAATAACAATAACAAATTTTTGCCTGGGGAAACACTTGATACGAGACAAAGATTTGTTGAAAGACCAGAGAGGAAGTCCAGCTTATATTAGTCCAGATGTCTTAAGTGGTGAGTGATACAACTTTGACCTCCTAAATATTAGTACTATTTGACTATAATAAATGCTCCAGTCCATAGGAGCATTAATTGATCAGTATCTTTTGAAAACCCCAGCAGAGTCATGTGCACCTCAGCCGTAAAGTGGACCAATTTTTGATTGCTTTCATTTTAGTCAACAAGATTTTGAGAGGAGCATGCATTCACCTGAATAAGCTAATGTATTACTGCTCTCATATATATATGGGAACAGTGAGCAGTTTTAGTCTTCATATGATTTTGAACACTTTGCTTTTTTTGGTCTGAAATAGCATGTGATTTTTGTTTTGGGTCTATAGATTGGGAAAGAGTAATCAAAGACATAAAATTGCTCTCTGTTTTGCTTTAGCTCTGCTTACCTTCTTGGGGAAAAACTGAGATCCACAGACCAAGACCCACCCAGCTATCCTGCCCCAAAAACATACAAGGAGCACTGTACCTCTCCAAGAGTAATCCTAGGTTAAAGTTATCTGCATGCAAAAATCTGCATGGTACGGCTGGTTTCTGAAAATAATTCTTGTTAGAAATTTACATTGTTAGTAGATTAGATTTTTAGAAAGTGTGTAGTAACTGTTGGTTTTATATAACATAAATTATAATATTATTCCTTTACTATTTTCTTCTTTGTTCTGCAGGGGCTCCATACTCGGGGAAAGCAAGTGACATGTGGGCGCTTGGTGTTGTCCTGTACACCATGTTGTATGGTCAGTTCCCTTTCTATGACAGCATACCTCATGAACTGTTCAGAAAGATCAAAACTGCAGAGTTTGTGCTGCCAAAGTAAGTTATGCAGCTGGTTGAAATTCTTATGAGATACCATTTAATGAATACAGGTGCCCCCAGTTGTTCAAAGGATGAATAGCACCATCCATCAGATAAATCATTAACCAGTGGATAGCCTGGTTTATTTTGTCAACGCTTATCCACTTAATAGCAATTTATCCCCTGGGTATTGTTATACCTCCTTTGAACAACCGGGCCCTAAACTCTACATTAACGAGCTGTTCAAATATGATGTGCAGCCTCTACTTTTATAAATACGGTACAAAGGAGTTTGGGCCAATAAAAATGTGTTCGACTAAGACTTTTTTTCCAATTTTCTTTCAATGGTAGTGGTTTTTTTTCTGAAAATTTAGTTAAGAAGGTGTGGACACAATTAACTTGATGACCCTTCATGTGCACTGTGGATGTGTAATTAATATTTTCTCACTGACTTTCCTTTTTCTCACCAAGTGTTCTGCGTGTCAGAATCCAGGGGTCCTGGTTTTGAGTTTCGCTCTGACCTTTACCTGAATTTGTTTGAGGGTAGCCCTGAGTTCAAATCCTGACAGCCATGCTTGTTCATAGCCAACTAGTTGTCCTCTGGCCAGTTGAGATTCTTAACAATGCTATGTTCGATTTGAATTATTTGTTTCAGTTGTTTGCTCGGCCCCACTAGCCTTTGTGCTATAAACACTGCAGAGGGTAAATTAAAGGTTATTTATTTTATTATTACTATTTATTATACAGTGATGGTCGCGTGTCTGATAATACCAAGTCACTGATTGGACTGCTACTGATGTTGGATCCTCAGAAGAGACTCACAGCATCTGGTGTGCTTGATTTCCTGAGAAATACCATGACGGCATGGTGAGTGGGAGAACCATTTCTACATAACTTTCATGCAATTCAAGTTTGCCTCTACGGTTAAGCTGTAGGTAAACTTTTGGATTCTTTGGGGAAGATTAATGGGAAAGAAATTTTGTTTCCAGTACGATATCCCAACCCCAAACTCGACCAAACCCAACTGCCCCTACCCAGGGTTCACACGCACCTGGCAAGTCTTGGAATTTGAAGAACTTGAATGTCCGTCAAAAGTACGTTGGGTCCTTGGAAAACCTTAAAATTTGCAGGGGTCTTGAAATTTGCTGGGGTTTTTTTCTCTGACTCTTTCAGTTGCCTAACAAGGCAAAAAAACGTGTCTGCGTGCATTTCATTCAAAAAGGAAAAAATCTTAGTTAGCTCTTTGCTAATGTCGGTCAAGAGCTCAAGGAAAAGATTGCCCGTGCAGTGGAAGAACACATTTGGCAGGTATCCCTTACTGGATAGAGTCCTTGAGAAGTTCTTGAAGTATTAAAAAAGAGTACAAACCCTGTCTACCCCAGCCACCCAACATAGTGTTTCTATAAAATTATTTTTTTTGATATGTATTCTCTCTTTTCAATTATTGAATAAAGTTGTATATTGTTAATATTTAACTTTATATATTTACAATTCTCCTAGTGTAGTTTTTTTTTACACTGTTTTAGGAGTAACTTGATAAAAAATAAGGCTTGTCTTGAACTGTGCCATAATATTTCAAGTCATTTTGCTTATGCGCAATTTTTTTCTAAGTTGAGAAAAACCTTAAAATAATACTGTTACTCTAAAGTAGTAACAATACACTGAAAATAAACGGACTTGGTTGTAGGTCCGATTACCAGCCGCTGTTACCAGCCCCCGTCGTTGCCCTCCTGCTCCTCCTCCTCCTCCTTCTCGTCCCCTCCCCTCCCCTCCCTTCCCATTCCCTCCCCCGTTGAACTCGCTCAGTTCAGGGAGGACCTTCCGGACTGGACCCGAAAAGGCGGAAATCGAGCGTAACATGGTTACGACTGAGATATATTAAGGAAGTCGTTTTTCAAGATGTGTCGTCCTTAACAATTTTGTTTTTCCTTATCGGTAGGTATTTGTCGAATACAATGAGCGAACCCGCCCAAGTAGTTCCTGATATCGATGAAGGCTCTTCAGGAGACACTAAGGATGGATTTGACAGTTCGTCGAGGTTAAGGCAACCAGAGCTTGAACTCCGTTTGACTAAATACCGTGACAATGTCAACAATAAGGAGCCGAGAGTTACACTCACGAGAGAAAGTCTCACACAGCCGCCAATACGACGGATCTCCGAAGATGCCCGACCGTTGACGGCGGCTGAAATTCTTGCTCATCGTCACTTACTTAACGTTACGTAAAACGCAAAGCCTAGAAAATTTTAAGAAGGGAGAAGCTTATTCCAACACAAATCTCAGTTCTGTTTATCTAGAGCGAGTCGGAAATACGTTGTGCATTAGCTTTAGTTTTGCTTCTCTTTAGGTCTGTGATTCGTTGATAAAAATTCGGGCAATTTTCTTTTAACCTATCACAGCGGACATGCTTTTATTCAACAAATCAGAAGCATGGCCCACACCAATCGTGATTGGCTGATGCGCTTTCTCCCGCACTTGGTCTCGCATACATGTTTGTGCATTGAATTCTAATTTGTTTGTTTCATTCATATTTGCGTTATTGCTATTGGCGAGATGTGATCAGAGTACTTTGCTTGTGATGTTAAGATGGTCATCAGCTACAGCACTCTCTGAACTAAGCAAGTTATTTTGCATCGTTTACCGCTTACATTGCGGACCCATTCATCGTTATTCTGCGTTTTTTCCTCTGCATACATCGTTATCGTAGGCATTCGGTACTCAAATCAATCTAAAAGCAGCTTCTTGCAACACTAAAGTTTCACATGGTATGTTGCGACGATGAACCATTAGGTCTACAACAAAATTTTTCATACAGATTTTCGTACATCGACTACAATTCTTCTTGGAATAATTTGTTTTGTTTTTTTAAGCCATGGAGGAAGGGCCAAGGGTTAGAGAGGGATTGGGAACGCCTCTCAAGAGGGGTTTTTTCACATCCGGTTTACGCTATTAGTACTCGTGTTTAAAATGGCCGCTGAAGGACGGAATGCAACAAGAGTTTCAGTAAAGACAGATGTACGAAACAGGACCTTTCTGGGCTTATTAGCTATTCAATTCTGTGAATTGGTTTACTACATGTGGGTTGTAAATAGGGGTTGGAAATTCTATTGTATTAGGAGATGTTAAAGGCATGAAAAGAAATTATATATATACATATATTTGTGGCAATTTCCTGTCTGGTGACCGGAGTCGAGAGTAGGAAATTTTGAATAGATATCAAATTATCGGGAAAGTTGACAGGTCAATAAAATATTTATTCCATTGCTGACCGAATTGATTATTGTGTCCTTGAGTTACCTCCCTTATCGCAGGCACCTCTGGAGTAAAATGCCTTACCCAATGACACGACACAATAAGCTGGGCAGGGCTTCAAGAAAGACCCCTCGATTCGGAGTTAGCCGTAATGCCATCACGCCTCTCATTCCATTCTTGTTACAAGATCCCTTGCCACGACCCCAGGCGTCCCTCCTTGATTTGAGGGCGGTGCACCATGTTACCAGGGACGAAGCAAACAAGATCCCCTTGCTTTTCGAAACAAAGGACTGCATAACTGTATGCTCCTAACTTCACTTTCAGATTGGATGCTTAACCCTGTGATTGAAGTTGCACAAAATTGTCAGAACGGACGAAACAATGTATATACATAAAAAAAACAGGCGATTTGGAGGCATTGGCTTGGGGAACGATTTTCAGATATTTACGTTGTCCAGTCTTCCTCCTCACTAACTGAAGCCTTCCTCAACGCCGGGTTTGTAACGATCGAGTTCCCAAGGGCGCCTGTGGTCTAGATTATTTCTACGCAAATATGTAAAGTCGGGGGTATTTCTGTGGAAATATTAATAAAATAATGCAGGAATAAGAACGAAAATTAAATTATTTTTTTTGTTGTTCACTAATAGCAGTGGCTGTGCGATTATGTGTTGTTTAAAAACCGTAATGTATATGATTAAGTTAGCCTGGAAATTTTGTTTCTCTTTAAATTTTCACAAGAGCTGAGAAGTCTAACAAGAAAGGATGGTCTACTTTGAAAACTAACCGGCTAATATTTTGAGAAAAAAATTCAATGTTCTCAAAACAAATAACGTAATAATACCCAGTTGTCAAGAATAATTTTATTGCATCATCTAAAATTTTATACAATACGAAAAGACCGACTGGTGTTCTATAGTATCTGTAACAGCAGACAAGATCAGCCTCTAGCCTGACTCATGTCGAGATTCGTAATTTACATTTCTAGTGATAATCACTTTTCTATAAACAAATAAAAAGTACAATATATCAACGTGACCAATACAGATTTTGACCGGTACATATCTAGCCGGTATAAACTGCAGCACTCTGCTTTACAAGGATTTCAACCGCTGACAAATCGTTACTTGCAAACGCTAGTACATAAAATGAAAAGGGTTTTGCCTGTGTTGGCTATCTGTAAAACCACATACTCGGATGTAGATCGCAATAGCGGAAAATAAACTTTATTGAGAAACATTTCGCCTATCCGTATTTATTAAACGACTAGTGATATCTGATTTATTATAGATACGTATTGTATATATGAAATTTGGCGGCCCTCATGAACTCCACATCTCCAAGCAACTCACCACGTGTTGTTTCGTTTTCTTTGTGAAATAATGGCATTGTCCATGATGTTATTTTCCTCAGTGCGTTGCAACGGTCAACATTTGCTGCAACGATCTTTCAAATGTATTTATCATTGGAAATGAAACAATAAAAAGTTATTATTTAAGTGAGTAATTCTCAACGCTCATCTAGCGCGGCTGATAAAATTGTACTTGATTTTAAGAAGACTGAGGGCACAACACTGGATGCTAAAAACCAAGACTCTCCATTGAAAATTGCAAATAATTGATATCACAACTAAAGCTATACCAGTTTCCTAGCATCGTAAATGATGATACACCAGAAGAAGATCATTTCATTTAGTTATGTCTTTTTATCCCAAATTATTACTCAAAAATAACATAAACAAAAGTAATGTACGGGCTAAATGTTTTATCTTCAAATTCAAAATCCCATACTGGTGTTTTGTTTAGAATGATCTACAGTGTACCTCAGCAGGGTGTGTTTGATGCAGTAAGATCTATGCTATAAATAACTTTGAATTTTCTAGTGTAATACACTTGTTTTCGTTCTTTTTGGCTGTCTTAATTTTTCTTTGCGGAATTCCTTCTGTTAGTGTCACTAATAGCCATGCCCTCCACAAAGGAAGGCGGCTGTTAGGATGTTATTAGAATGCTATTGAATTAACTGAACAAAGATCTTACTCATTTCGGAGAGAAACTGTTACAATATTCCATTTCTTTAGCTCACATAAAATACCAAAGTACTTGAAAAAATACATGTAGGTTTTATTTCTGCATAAACGTCGAGCTATTCCTGATACAATATTGCATATTTATGCAGTTCACAAATAATGTTAAATAACAAATAATAAATTATAATGTGAGGATAAAAACAACAAAAAAAGACCATATTTACGCCATGTACACAGCATGTAACCAGCCCATTGATTTCACTATGGCGTAAATGTTTGAAATAAGTAGAAACAGATGGTTATAAAATTATGACATTCTGGTCGCAGTTTTCGGAAAGTGTTTTACCAGCGTTGGTATTCGATGCACTCAGATTAATAAAAGACGTCTCCTGAAATACGACTGACCTTGCCATACTGAGCAGAGAACAGTTGTTCAAGACTGCGACGAGAAGACAAAACTCAGGTAAATTTCTAATGTGATTCTTTCAGCTTTCATAAAGAGACCCCTGAATGGAAGGAATAAGATAAACAAGTGTATTTAACGTTCCGCCTAACACGACATTGCAACTACTAGTAAGTTAACTACAGAAACAAAGAAACAGTATTTCGACTGCGCAGCGGAGTGAATTTTCCAGATGTAAATGTTGAAGAATTTGTCCTCGTGTACCGTTGCCAGGAAACAAAATCCGAATATATGAGCTAAGATATGGGTGAAAAATGGATTCAGCCAGTATTTGGTTCTTTTTTTTCTAAACCTTTGATGCTAGTTTCAAAGTCACAAATTCTCCTAAGCTAAACAAAATGTATCCTCAACGGTCACTTGTGAAGATGTATGTTAAAACATTCGAAACGTCAAGGGAAAATGTATCAATTTTGTTTTCAACATTGCGTTTTATTGTCATGTTTTTCACCGCAGTTTGCGTGTTATTTCTTGTTAAGCTACGACGGCCAAAGAAAAAGAGTAGCAACAAAATGTAGATCGCTTGAAAAGTCTTCTGCCGAGATTTTGTCAGTTCTGTCACACTGTTTTCAACACCGGCTCGATACGAGAGTCTTTTAGAACATTAATCAAGTTGAGGGGAGGGGAGGGGTGAGAAAAAAGTGTCGTTGCACTATGTGTTGGTTAGTGTTACATTAGAATCCCACTTGATAATTACTATGAGCCTGCGATGAAAGAAGATGCTGTTGCTAAGTAACAAGTAGATGACAAGTAGTGGCAAGTGTGCTTAATTAAATAAACTGGACCATAATTTTTTGGCTGAATTGATCACCTTAAAGTGCTTTTCTAAAAGAAAAGAGAGAAACACCTGAAGAGAATCTGGAAATAAATGCCAAAACCCTTATNCACTTACTTAACGTTACGTAAAACGCAAAGCCTAGAAAATTTTAAGAAGGGAGAAGCTTATTCCAACACAAATCTCAGTTCTGTTTATCTAGAGCGAGTCGGAAATACGTTGTGCATTAGCTTTAGTTTTGCTTCTCTTTAGGTCTGTGATTCGTTGATAAAAATTCGGGCAATTTTCTTTTAACCTATCACAGCGGACATGCTTTTATTCAACAAATCAGAAGCATGGCCCACACCAATCGTGATTGGCTGATGCGCTTTCTCCCGCACTTGGTCTCGCATACATGTTTGTGCATTGAATTCTAATTTGTTTGTTTCATTCATATTTGCGTTATTGCTATTGGCGAGATGTGATCAGAGTACTTTGCTTGTGATGTTAAGATGGTCATCAGCTACAGCACTCTCTGAACTAAGCAAGTTATTTTGCATCGTTTACCGCTTACATTGCGGACCCATTCATCGTTATTCTGCGTTTTTTCCTCTGCATACATCGTTATCGTAGGCATTCGGTACTCAAATCAATCTAAAAGCAGCTTCTTGCAATACTAAAGTTTCACATGGTATGTTGCGACGATGAACCATTAGGTCTACAACAAAATTTTTCATACAGATTTTCGTACATCGACTACAATTCTTCTTGGAATAATTTGTTTTGTTTTTTTAAGCCATGGAGGAAGGGCCAAGGGTTAGAGAGGGATTGGGAACGCCTCTCAAGAGGGGTTTTTTCACATCCGGTTTACGCTATTAGTACTCGTGTTTAAAATGGCCGCTGAAGGACGGAATGCAACAAGAGTTTCAGTAAAGACAGATGTACGAAACAGGACCTTTCTGGGCTTATTAGCTATTCAATTCTGTGAATTGGTTTACTACATGTGGGTTGTAAATAGGGGTTGGAAATTCTATTGTATTAGGAGATGTTAAAGGCATGAAAAGAAATTATATATATACATATATTTGTGGCAATTTCCTGTCTGGTGACCGGAGTCGAGAGTAGGAAATTTTGAATAGATATCAAATTATCGGGAAAGTTGACAGGTCAATAAAATATTTATTCCATTGCTGACCGAATTGATTATTGTGTCCTTGAGTTACCTCCCTTATCGCAGGCACCTCTGGAGTAAAATGCCTTACCCAATGACACGACACAATAAGCTGGGCAGGGCTTCAAGAAAGACCCCTCGATTCGGAGTTAGCCGTAATGCCATCACGCCTCTCATTCCATTCTTGTTACAAGATCCCTTGCCACGTCCCCAGGCGTCCCTCCTTGATTTGAGGGCGGTGCACCATGTTACCAGGGACGAAGCAAACAAGATCCCCTTGCTTTTCGAAACAAAGGACTGCATAACTGTATGCTCCTAACTTCACTTTCAGATTGGATGCTTAACCCTGTGATTGAAGTTGCACAAAATTGTCAGAACGGACGAAACAATGTATATACATAAAAAAAACAGGCGATTTGGAGGCATTGGCTTGGGGAACGATTTTCAGATATTTACGTTGTCCAGTCTTCCTCCTCACTAACTGAAGCCTTCCTCAACGCCGGGTTTGTAACGATCGAGTTCCCAAGGGCGCCTGTGGTCTAGATTATTTCTACGCAAATATGTAAAGTCGGGGGTATTTCTGTGGAAATATTAATAAAATAATGCAGGAATAAGAACGAAAATTAAATTATTTTTTTTGTTGTTCACTAATAGCAGTGGCTGTGCGATTATGTGTTGTTTAAAAACCGTAATGTATATGATTAAGTTAGCCTGGAAATTTTGTTTCTCTTTAAATTTTCACAAGAGCTGAGAAGTCTAACAAGAAAGGATGGTCTACTTTGAAAACTAACCGGCTAATATTTTGAGAAAAAAATTCAATGTTCTCAAAACAAATAACGTAATAATACCCAGTTGTCAAGAATAATTTTATTGCATCATCTAAAATTTTATACAATACGAAAAGACCGACTGGTGTTCTATAGTATCTGTAACAGCAGACAAGATCAGCCTCTAGCCTGACTCATGTCGAGATTCGTAATTTACATTTCTAGTGATAATCACTTTTCTATAAACAAATAAAAAGTACAATATATCAACGTGACCAATACAGATTTTGACCGGTACATATCTAGCCGGTATAAACTGCAGCACTCTGCTTTACAAGGATTTCAACCGCTGACAAATCGTTACTTGCAAACGCTAGTACATAAAATGAAAAGGGTTTTGCCTGTGTTGGCTATCTGTAAAACCACATACTCGGATGTAGATCGCAATAGCGGAAAATAAACTTTATTGAGAAACATTTCGCCTATCCGTATTTATTAAACGACTAGTGATATCTGATTTATTATAGATACGTATTGTATATATGAAATTTGGCGGCCCTCATGAACTCCACATCTCCAAGCAACTCACCACGTGTTGTTTCGTTTTCTTTGTGAAATAATGGCATTGTCCATGATGTTATTTTCCTCAGTGCGTTGCAACGGTCAACATTTGCTGCAACGATCTTTCAAATGTATTTATCATTGGAAATGAAACAATAAAAAGTTATTATTTAAGTGAGTAATTCTCAACGCTCATCTAGCGCGGCTGATAAAATTGTACTTGATTTTAAGAAGACTGAGGGCACAACACTGGATGCTAAAAACCAAGACTCTCCATTGAAAATTGCAAATAATTGATATCACAACTAAAGCTATACCAGTTTCCTAGCATCGTAAATGATGATACACCAGAAGAAGATCATTTCATTTAGTTATGTCTTTTTATCCCAAATTATTACTCAAAAATAACATAAACAAAAGTAATGTACGGGCTAAATGTTTTATCTTCAAATTCAAAATCCCATACTGGTGTTTTGTTTAGAATGATCTACAGTGTACCTCAGCAGGGTGTGTTTGATGCAGTAAGATCTATGCTATAAATAACTTTGAATTTTCTAGTGTAATACACTTGTTTTCGTTCTTTTTGGCTGTCTTAATTTTTCTTTGCGGAATTCCTTCTGTTAGTGTCACTAATAGCCATGCCCTCCACAAAGGAAGGCGGCTGTTAGGATGTTATTAGAATGCTATTGAATTAACTGAACAAAGATCTTACTCATTTCGGAGAGAAACTGTTACAATATTCCATTTCTTTAGCTCACATAAAATACCAAAGTACTTGAAAAAATACATGTAGGTTTTATTTCTGCATAAACGTCGAGCTATTCCTAATACAATATTGCATATTTATGCAGTTCACAAATAATGTTAAATAACAAATAATAACTTATAATGTGAGGATAAAAACAACAAAAAAAGACCATATTTACGCCATGTACACAGCATGTAACCAGCCCATTGATTTCACTATGGCGTAAATGTTTGAAATAAGTAGAAACAGATGGTTATAAAATTATGACATTCTGGTCGCAGTTTTCGGAAAGTGTTTTACCAGCGTTGGTATTCGATGCACTCAGATTAATAAAAGACGTCTCCTGAAATACGACTGACCTTGCCATACTGAGCAGAGAACAGTTGTTCAAGACTGCGACGAGAAGACAAAACTCAGGTAAATTTCTAATGTGATTCTTTCAGCTTTCATAAAGAGACCCCTGAATGGAAGGAATAAGATAAACAAGTGTATTTAACGTTCCGCCTAACACGACATTGCAACTACTAGTAAGTTAACTACAGAAACAAAGAAACAGTATTTCGACTGCGCAGCGGAGTGAATTTTCCAGATGTAAATGTTGAAGAATTTGTCCTCGTGTACCGTTGCCAGGAAACAAAATCCGAATATATGAGCTAAGATATGGGTGAAAAATGGATTCAGCCAGTATTTGGTTCTTTTTTTTCTAAACCTTTGATGCTAGTTTCAAAGTCACAAATTCTCCTAAGCTAAACAAAATGTATCCTCAACGGTCACTTGTGAAGATGTATGTTAAAACATTCGAAACGTCAAGGGAAAATGTATCAATTTTGTTTTCAACATTGCGTTTTATTGTCATGTTTTTCACCGCAGTTTGCGTGTTATTTCTTGTTAAGCTACGACGGCCAAAGAAAAAGAGTAGCAACAAAATGTAGATCGCTTGAAAAGTCTTCTGCCGAGATTTTGTCAGTTCTGTCACACTGTTTTCAACACCGGCTCGATACGAGAGTCTTTTAGAACATTAATCAAGTTGAGGGGAGGGGAGGGGTGAGAAAAGAGTGTCGTTGCACTATGTGTTGGTTAGTGTTACATTAGAATCCTACTTGATAATTACTATGAGCCTGCGATGAAAGAAGATGCTGTTGCTAAGTAACAAGTAGATGACAAGTAGTGGCAAGTGTGCTTAATTAAATAAACTGGACCATAATTTTTTGGCTGAATTGATCACCTTAAAGTGCTTTTCTAAAAGAAAAGAGAGAAACACCTGAAGAGAATCTGGAAATAAATGCCAAAACCCTTATAACGCTAAAGGCGTAAATAGCCAATCAGAGCTTGCGGCAAATATCTTTTAATCCGTCGTTCAAGCCTGGACAGGAAAAGTCGCGAGAGATGAAGAAACGGTATTTTTCTTTAGTTTTTGATGAGTCCAGTAACAAAGGAAGCTATGCGAAAACGAGCACGAAAAGAAACAATCCAAGTACATCCTTGACAATACATTGATTAGTAAGAAGTTATTACATGCTGCCAATTACTGCAGTTGAATAGGTTCGGAAGAAGAGTTCATTGAGATTATGCGTTGTTCGGGGTAGTCTATTACCTTAAAGCCATAATGTTCGTTTACAAGGCAAGAGATTTTGTCATCAAAATCTTACTCGTTAAGAGGCGGTTGAGGAACTTTAGGAACTCGTACTTTGTCTATTACAGAATTTTTCTTCACTATTCCGACTGCCATTAATGGCACTAACCAAGTTGAAGCATTGTCTAACAAAAAGAAGGAAGAGGAAAGCTGAGGTCGAAGATAACGAACCGTGAAATCGAAATTCTAAGATTTGACGAGAAATCGTTTTGCAATACATACTTTCGCGTAATTTTCCATGGAAGTTTAATTTTTAAAAAGGGCCACTTCAAGTGGGCAGGAGACAAAATATGGCTGTACACTTCGGAAACTAAGCTGAAATTTCTTTTTTGAACATAACTTGATCAGTTTTCCCTACAGGAGTCGAAAGCGTCCTATTTGACTTCACTTTCTTGCAGTGAGAGACCGGAGGTCGAAAAACAAACACGGATCTAAATCGCGTCGGAGAGCTTTCTATCGGCAATCTAAATTAAAGGTAAAAACGCACTTCAAAACAAAAGAACACAATCTTCGTGACTTATGACGGACTTTTCACGTCAAGCAGCAGTCAATTTTAATAATTGCTCCAAAATGAATGTTGATGCTACGAACTGACAGTATGGTCACTTGTTGACGTTTAATTAAAAGTCCATGTATAGGAAAGAAAATTACCTACGCTAATATTGACAGGAAAAACGAACGCACAAAGAAAAAAGCTACTAAGATTAACATCAACAATTCTCCATCTTCGATTACATTGACTTTGCCCACGAAACAACTTAGGTTTATTCGCTTACCGCGGATTAATCGTTCCCACTGCCATTGAGTTTTTATCTTCAGTCAACAAGCGTTTTCCTCTCACGAAACAGTAAGTAACCAAAGTATTGATTTTCCACGATTCTGAAAGATCTTTTGTTTGTTTTTACGGGCGTCATCTGGCGATGTTTTTTTAGTCCGTTTTCTTTGAGGCTACGGAACTTTAAGGTTCGGTTGCACTTATTTGAGATGATTACTCCACTTTACTCTTTACAATCTTTTGCTAACTTCATTCAATTATCAAACGCCGGACGGCTCTTCGTTAAGCCACTTTTCAATAATGATCTATGGTCCAAAAACTTATTCTTGACTAAACAATCTATACTTTGAGCGCGCATTTAATTCGTTAGCTTTTTGATGCTTTCATTAGAAATTCTTTTCTTTTTTTTCTGTCCTTTGTTTTCATTAAGGTTCAGTCGAGAACTTTTGTTGATTAAAATTCTGACGCGGGGTTCATACATTGTCTACATTGTCGAGACAGGTGGTGCGGTGAACGCAGGTTTCAACAAAACCCCCGCGGCAACAGCGCATATTGGCAGACAACTCAGGGATTCTAAACTCTGCTTGACAATTTCTCTACATTATCTTTCCTTGTTCACGCAGGATAACTTAATTTCAGCGGATCCTGACATCAGCGATTTGATTGGGACTTCTTCATGGCACTGAAATGGCTCGTGAGTTATTGTATGACAAAGTTGTTTTGAAATTGGTAAGTGAAAATAATTTACGTACAGTTACTTGCGAGACTGTGTTTGAAAGCTAAACATGAATGGGCAGTGATTGCATTAGGTGAAAAAGTTTACATGTTCTCATCTTCTACATTTCAGGTCTTTGCACTCCTTCTGGGAATATTTTGTGGCCATTCTGAGGGTAAATTCTACTGTAGTTTTTGACCGAGTTTGAACAACAATTCTATTCACATCAACGCACTTTGTTTACACTTTTGTACTTTACAATTCTCTTTCTAAAATTTTGGTTAATCTTTCTGAGGGATTAAGAAAATGTGAAACAAGTCTCAGAGACTGAGTTCATCAAATAACCAAAACTTTAAATAGCCGTTCGAGGGCTGGGCTCGACAAAAATTTGTTAATGGTATCTTGTTTCACGGACAAAGAAATGTGGCCTCAAACAAATATTAGCACAAGGGTTGAAAGGTATCTCTTATTGATAGGTAATTGTTCCTTTTCTTCACGAGCGTTAATGTAAAAATCTCAAAATTCCCTAAACGGCCCAAATATCCATTGCAGCTTCTTATGAAAATTATGCTTGGCGACCGCCGTTGCTTTCAAGGTGTTAAACCATTAAATTTACACTGCATTTCGAGGTCTGCCGCTTATTATCGCGTATGAAAACGTTTAATTTGAACGGAGAAGAAAAACCGTCCCGATTAATCTCGTTTGCTTATGATTTAACCGCCGGAGGCAAAGATTGAATTAAGGGAAAAGTCGCTGAGAATGTTTTTGAAGTTCTGGCGGTCTCAAGGGTAGTCCGACCTCCTTGGGCTAAATTATTTTTTTTTCTGTAATTTTGCAAAAAAATTCTTGTTTTTCATTGAAAGGCGGAGAACTTTGCACTACGTTGGAAAACCATCCAGCTGCGAAATTTCGAGTTCGTTTGTTGTAGCCAATGAGCTTGCAGTTAAACTAAGTGGAAAACCACAAGACGAATTCATCAGTGTCTCAGATATGTTTCAATTTAGTGTTTGCTTTTCTCTTTGTTCATCTAGGATCTGCTCCAAATCTAATCATATCGTTTAATAAAGGCTGTCTCTTTGGATAATTCTAGGAATTAACAGCACTATACGAGGAAGTTGCAGTGATCTGCTTCCTGAGAGTTTTTTTAATTTGCTTCCTACGAATTTGAAATTTTGCAAATAGTGAGATGTTTTGAGTGTAGTCGGCACTTCAAAAATAAACGTAAATTGAACTCAAAAAATTTTAAATACACTCACTTAAATCAGGCAAATGGTCACCATCAAGTGATTTAAAATTGGTACATGTACTTTTTTAAGTGATAAATACAAATTTTTGAATTGGCATAAATTCCAAGAGGAATATTATCAACTCTTCCCTGCTTTGAAAATCCTTCCGAACTTGACGACCGAAATTTTGAAATTGTAATTCAACTTTTTTATCAAGTGGCTTGACATAGTCTAAAGCAACTTCTCAGCCAAAGTGTCGGTGAATACCCACTGATAATTACCTCGATATTGGAGCTCGGTAATATCCTGCGATATTCACCTCCACTACGAGGAATAATCTTGAATTGTCGCTCTCTCTGCTTTATTTCAAGAGGGTTACTCAAAAAATAATTAGATTAGTGCTGTTTAGTCTAGTTTTCCCTGGTTCATTTTAAACATTTACAAGAGCAGCACAGTTTAAAGGCTTAAACATCTTCAAGGTTCCTTGTGAAGAATTGTTTTGTGTCTAAGATCGCTTAAATTTCAAGGAACTCTTGGCTCCTTACATACCAAAGACAATCTCGAAACAAGTTTGTTTAAACTAAGAAAAACAAAACAGATCAAGTTTTCTCTTCCTACAATTATCATTCACGAGAGCAGGAAAGTCTAAATACAGAAAACAACTCATCAATTCACCTTGATATTTACTTTTGGAACAGTAACAGTGAATATAATACCACTACCTAAAATTCTTTTAATGTTCTTCTGGGATTCTGTATTATCAATCTTTAAAAATTGGCTTCTGTTGTCTTTTGTTCGTTTGATTGGTAAGACTCCACAAAATGACGTCATCCCTTTCAAAACAAAATGTTTTCTGTCAAAATGTCTCACTGTTTTACCTGTAAAATTGGCATCGAGACACAACAATAATCAAGGTTTTCTCCTCAAGAGCCGGTACATGGATCGGAGTTTGCAGAGTTTTCATTTGAGGGCACCAAAAAGCTGACTTACAGAAACACTTCCGCCAAATAGAGTTTTTCGAATAACGCAGATTGATCAGTGGTTATCACTGGTCTCGAGCAGTCGAATAATAAATTAGATTTTATGTCAACTACAAGATAGATAGGAAGATCGCGTGATAATGTCTCAGTAGAAATATCCTTCTTAAATATCGTTTTTAGTAGAAAATGCTTGATATATAAACGGACAACATCAGTTCCTACAGACAGTTTAAAAACCCAGTTAATAAAACGTCTAATGACAGAAGAAGGGAGCGAAATCGCGCGTTTCGTGAACGGGTGAATAGATTTAGGCAAGGATAACCTCACAAGACAGAAGCACAGATCACTGTACACCTTTGATGTTAGATTAATGTCTTCAGGTTGCCAAGCAAAATCGAATTAACACCGGCTCAATGAATCAAATTATATCGGTGGAATTTCAAAAGGAAAGTTCTAATCAAGTTATAATGTAATTTATTAATCCACACATAATTCGATTTAGACTAAAATAAAACTTGAAAATTATGTTCTACATGATGAACAGTTTACTTCTCGTTCTTTTTTTCAATTCCAACTGCTAGGGAGTTTAATTTACCTTTATTAACTTCAAGTTGATACGTAGCTAAGTGTTTCACTTGCTCAACAACGCAGGCCAACAATTTCTTTAGAAGACAATGTTAAAACCAGAAACGACCAGAACGCGGGAAAGTATAGTGGTTAACAGTTAGGCGACTAGTTTGCGATACCGAAAATAGATTATTATAGCGGAGCTCCCACGTTTCGGAGGCGCACGAGTGGAGTCCCATACTTTTGAACATTTGGTAACCCATGGATCTAAAAATGTTTGTTACGTGACTGTCCATACGTATGTCCGTACGTCCGTCCATAGTTATTAGTAGGGAGTGTTAGCAATGACGACGACGACGCCGAGGACGAAGCCTTGTAAAAAACGGATTTATGTCGCAACTGTGTAAATTGGCTCAGTACGCCTACCGGTCTAACAATTTGCTCAGTCTAGATACATCAATCATATAACAAGATCAGTGAACACACCCAACAGATTCCGAATCCATTGTCATGGTAAATATATTTTCCTTGTTTCAGCGCGGGTCGATTACAAAAACTTGGTAACATGCCAAGGAGAACGGGTCAAACTCCACTGTGGAAATGCAAGCTTGGGGCTGACTATCTATTCTGCAAGTTACGGAAGAACATACCCCGGTGATGTCATTTGCCCCTATTACGGAGACGAGAGTGACAAGAATTACAACTGTGGCGAAAATGACGTTACTGATACATTTAAAACGTTGTGTGAAAGGAAAAATAGATGCAGGGTTAAAGTAAATAGCGCATTGTTTCGAGATCCATGTCCGGAAAAACACTTGTATCTTACCTTGATTTACTCGTGTGGTAAGTATTTAATACAAATATATTTGAATAGCAGTAAAAGCGACAATCCACCGTAGGAAAAAGATGGCGGCTGTGCATTTTACCACATTGCCTTGCGAACCTAACACAGCCTAAAAGGCACAAAGAAAGCCAAATTTTTACAATATTTGTCCCTGCACTAAAGACATTGAGTAGCCTAGGTTTGAAGACTTTATAACGTTTCTGCACGTTTTTATAAACGTTGTTAAGAATTTCATGCGCTGAGAACTATGGGTAAATGTATCAGTCGCCACCTTTTTTCCTACGGAGGATTAAGCTGCTACAAAAAATTTTCCATTTCTGAGTGTTACAAAGAAAGTCCGAGGAAAATTTCGGGCTTTCATTTCGTGATGAAAAATGAGTTATGAAGCCACGAAGAACAGGTCAGCAGTGAGTTAAAATTCATTTACCATGACTTGCTTCCAGGCCTCATAGTTCAATTTGTAAAGGAGAGGAAGACCTAGGTCCAAATCGCCATGAGGATTGAAAGTTAATTGTTTTCTTATAAATTGCAGTTGCGTTATTCTCGTACTTTGAACCACTTTTCCTCATGTATGACTGGCACGTTTAATCTTAATGAAAATCTAAAATGCTACTCTGAAAAATAGTTATCAGTGAAATAGCTGTTAGGGCAGTCATCAATAGTTTGACATAGAATTTTTGTTTTGACCCTTTCGTCTCGTTATTATGCCTTTAAACAAAAGAACCGAAACAAAAGCTATTAACGTTTTCCCAGTGCACCAGTTAACAAATAAATAAATAAATAAATAAATAAATAAATAAATATACATTTATATAGCGCCATTTTCCACTAATTGTCCACTAATTGTCCAGTTAACCTTTTGTTTATTATGCCTCCATTTGATCGCTAGGAAATGTACTTTTAGCACAAGTTATCATGTTCTAAGTTTTCCTTGTCACACCTATGCATGTGCATCACCATTTTAGTCGAGTCTTTAATATGTCTTAATGTCAGTTTTTGGCTGCTTCTTAAAGATTGGCAGAAACCAAAGGTCATTCACACGTCCACGTCATCGAGTATCGTAACCACTACAACGAGTACTATTCCAGTACCCACTTCCTCCCTGGTCAGCATGTCAAGTTTCTCATCAATAACAATCTTTCCGACAATAGATGTTATCGCATCGACTAGTTCTGTACTTATGAGTCAGCATACGCCTAATGTTAACGAAACTCCGTCAATTCGAACAACCACCACCAAGGAAGGCGATTTAGGAGTCGACGACGTACTCGGCTCCGCGACAAAACATGCCGCTGAATCGCTTGGCATTGCAGGCACACTTTTTGTGTGGCTATTATTCATGCAAGGTATTTAAACATAGTTTAACCTTTGAATCATGAGAGAATGATCTTATCGGAACTTGATAAACATAAAGCAGGTGTCCATGTATGATCTTGTATGGTCTGATCACTTAATTAAAGAAATCGATTAAGTCATGACTTTGACCGAAATGGGTTCAAGACGTTTAATGTTAAAAATATGTTTATCTCTTTATATAGCAGATATACACCTTAACATATCTTAATAGCCAAGCGTTTTAAAGGGAATATTGGCCCGGGGTCTTGAAAGTACGGACCGAGCACAGCGACATTCTACTACGGACTCGGGCAATCTTGATCAATAAGATACTCATACTACGATCGTGATAGAGGGAAAATACCGTGGGATTCAAACACACGACTCAACTAGCTCAACTTTTACACGTAATCATGGCTGACGTTTTCAAAAGTAAAAGAAAAATTGTTGGATGAGAAAGAAAAGAGATTTTTTTGCGTGTAACTCAATTCTTTTCGAGAAGTAAGCCATAAAATTATAATCGTTCACGGGTCATTCCGGGCAGTGCTCGGGTCCAACACTTCAAAAATGTTGGACCGCCACTAGAGCAGTCTGACTGGTTGACTTAAGTTATTAGCCATCTGAATTAACTTAGTCTTGTAACGATTGGCAGCTGTCAGAGTATTTGCAAATGTCAGCTAAACTGGTTATGTTTCTAAAAAGCAGATAGTTCTTAGAAACATCTAGTCAAAAAATTTCAGAAACACTTTCTAATAGATTAGTAAAATGGCGTGTAGTCTAATTCTCATTTGATTTTGCCTGACCCTGACTGGTTGGAAAAAAAATGATTAGTTTTTTCGCCTTGGTATAGGAAAAGGAAAAATTATCAATCAATGACTAATTCATTCGGCTCTATGAGAAGTGCCTGTAGAGAGTCGTGGTCGTTGTATCCATCAAAACAAACATCCAGTCCAAAATGATGAAAACAACAACCATGATTCCCTGCAGGCACGTCTCATAGAGGGAATTGGCTATTGCTGTGTCTGGTAAACTCGGAAAGACAAAAGCCTTGATGTCCTTTTTTCACAGATCATTCGTCTGATTATATAACAGTGTTTTGTGCCAGCGCTGCTGGCGCACTATCTCTTGCCATAATTGTTGGTCTCTTCGTACTTTACCGTCACCATGCAAATAAACAACACCTTCACGTTGAGGAAGAGTCAAAATTAAACCCATATGGGAGCACGGAGCCAAAAATGTCAACCGAAGTTGACCCATTCTTAGCAGGCCCCGTTAAGACCCCTCCTCCCGACTGCATGATGGAAGGATATACCTGGCAACGTGGAAGAACAATGCCTCTCAAGAAATCTCAAAATGGCACAGTTGTGAGGACGTTTAGTGCCAAGGATGTTTACACCAAAGAGCCGAACGGTGAGAGGTAAGTTTACCAATATTGATGCGTGCGTGAAACAGGGAAGTAGAGATAATGAAACAGAGATAATTGTTTTTGGAAAAGAATTGCGAATAATTTATGGACATCTTTACTTGTGCGTGTTCTTTCTTTAAAGAAAGGTTTATGCTTGTTTGCTTTGAGAATACCATTGCACATCAACAGTTCCGAAATTAATGGTTTGTGATTTACATTTTTATTTTAATAGCATTCGAATAAGTCAATACTGAGAAAATATAATTGACTGGCTTAAGTCGCTTAACCACTCATCCAGTCCTCCTTCACTCTCCAACCTTCCTTTCTTCCTTGCTACCTCTTTGTTTGCTTGCTTCCTTCCCACCACCCTTCTGCATGTTCATGTCGTTCATCCTTAATCAAATCTTAACGTCGCGACGTTTTAGGTCCTTCTTAGCCTGTCGCTCACGTTTCCCTCTTTAATACGCGTCTTTAACACTTAACATTTTAAATTTGGTTGTTTAATTTTTTACAGCGTCTGTTAGGAAGACGACTCACCAAGTAAAAACCATCCAACTAACACAGAAGTCAGCTTAATAACCACCTTCACGTTAAGGACCTGTCTTGTTCAGTTTAATTTTTAACATATCACCAAGGGCCGTAAATGTCATTTTGACATTTTAATTTCTTGTGTACCTAATCATATTTTCATTTTTTTTTTTATGCTTTTCTACATCATTAACATAAATTACATTTCCCTTGGGCAATTGCGTGAGAAGTGCATGTAACATAAAGGTCTTAGACCTGTGACGATAGGCCTAATAGAGTGACAAAAAGGCTCACAGTAGTCATGTAAAATAACTAAAATCAAATACCTTTTCTAGTTAAGTGATATTTTTCCTTAAAACGTTACAGGAATGCATTATCATTAAGGAGATCTTTTATTTTTTTACATTTGACTTTATTGTTTGGTACATTTAAGGAACACAGACTTTGATAACTCTCACCAGAAGATATACGCGATTTCTTCAAGTATTCCTTGTCACAAGATGATTTTTTTGCAAAACTGCACATTACGTGGTATTAGCAATTAGCAAATGTGCTTTGATGTGGGTATTGTACAAAGTGTTTTGATTTCTTTGTGTCGTATGGTGATTGAAACGGTAGAAAATAGCATTGTTTACAAAACACAGGTCGATTGCAATCGGCCGAAGACGGCCCGAGCTCTTTCCCTAATACTTTGATCCATTTAAATTACATCCACGCTATCATTGGTTATCCATGTTTTGAAATGGATTCCTGTTATTTGTCTGGTACTTCATTATTAATTAAAATCATTATCACTGTTTAACTTCTCGTGCTGTAGGCTTGTTGTTGATCTGCGAGAGCCGTATGCTTAATAGGGTCAGACCCAACATTGTGTTTTCCCGTATCTTTTCTTCAGACAGACCGAAACTCCCAGATATCATCGGGGTCCACAGTTTGTTGCTGTAGCCAGAAGACAGGAAAGTTCTAACATGTACTTGAACCCTGCGTACGCGACAAACAAATCTCTAAGAAATGGAAGAGGGAGACATTTGATGAATGAAGAAGATCGAAGAGGAACGAGAACCAGAGAAAGTAGAACTTCTGCAGATGCTTTATACTATTAGCCTCTCCACCTCGTCTCCCTTTATAATATCTCTATTATCCCATTCAGAACGGGTGGGGAAAACCTAATGCAAAAGAAGGCGAATGTTACCAGAGTTAATCCCCCATATAGACCTTATCCCAAAGACGGTATTCGCTTTGAAGTTTTGACCAAGCGCATTGCGTAAATGTTTTTTGCTGAGAATAAAAATACGCGCAAAGCTGCAAACCTATTAGGGCTGTCCACGTGAGCAAAATCTCCATCACAAGATTGGCTATTTCTAGACCCGTTTGGGATTTCCGAAGCCTGGTATAATATGAAATAACTTCACAGCGAGGAAAGGTCTATATGGGAATTGTAAACTCTCTTACCCTTCATCGTCTCTTTTTCTATAGCTTGTCGCACAGCCAATCTAAACAATTTCTAAATTGTTTGGATTACGATTTGTTTGGTTTCAAAATGGTCAATTTGATACGGACCATATTAGTGCTGTCGAGGTTTTATAAAAGGCTATGATATCATTGTTATGTGGCTCCGATGGGTTCCCGGACATAGGAGAGTTATAATAAGCATAGTACCGAAGATTTAAAGTGGCTCAAAGATCTCTGTGGCAACCTTTGCATGGGTCGTCAATCAAAATCAAAAAAGAGCTTTGTACTAATTTAAATTCTTTGAATGAATATCTATCTATTAACAAAGAGAAACTCTTTAGTGAAGCTCGTTAAAGAATGACAACAAAGATCTGCGGTCCACATTAGAAAATGTTTCCGACAGGTACTTTAAGAGTCACGACAGCTAAGAAACATTAAATAGATAAATAAATTGGCTAAAATGTTTACAGAAATCGCAGAAATGAGGGGCTCCCCTCATTCGATGAGAAAAACTATTTGTTTTATACTTCATATAGTACTAATTTTTAACGTTGTTACTGATCAACATCTAAAACACTGTGTAGATCACGCCAGTAATTGCCATGATGCGTTTCCCTGTAATTATTTTTCTAAACGATAAAGGTTCCTTAATTGCTAGTACGTCTGGGGTCTGTGAAAGTTTGTTTGCCGATTAATGGAAAAAGTGCTTTGTACTCATAAAATTGTTACAAATCAATAAATATCTTAACATTGCAAGAAGTACTTGCAATGTTAAGAAAACTGTAAGGTAATAGTGTAAAAAAAAAAAAAAAATGGAAATTGCTGTTTTCTAAACAGACCTAGCCTCCATTTAAAGTTTATTTTGATTTTATTGCAATCAAGTTGTTAGGTATATATTCAGGAGTAGTAGAAATAGAAATTGTAATATTTAAGTGAAATTTTGAAAGCTGATTCCTACTAATATATTGTTTTTGTAACTGCGAGAAGATAAAATTTTAATTTTTAATTTGGGAACTGTATTCAAGGAAGTGTACTTTTTGTCACTGTTTTCATAAAAGACCTGCATATCTTGTTAAGGAGACCTTATTTGGTCCCCGTTTTAGAAGTAGACTAAGTCACGCCATATGGATATCATTATTCACAACGAAATTTCCAAGCTCAGTTATCTCATAGAAGAGTTGTATATCTTGTTAAGGAGACCAGGTATGACACTAACTGATCATATTTAAATAATGAAATAAACTTACTGTCTGACTTGAAAGGTCTTCGCATGCTGGGTTGAAACTAAGGTTTCGGAGCCCCATAATGGCTGGTTACATCCAGTGCAAAGAAGTGAAACTGTTTATGGACCGAGGATCGAAGTGGTTAAAAGTTTGGGCAACAAAAATCTATACACATCCGATGGAAATTGAACCAAGTTGTTTAAAAATCCCAAGACTGTCTTAATACATTTCTTATAAAATTAGGCCAGAGAGTCAAAACCATTTTCTATTATTAACGATTACTTTATTCTTTTGATTTTTTTAAGAGAAGAAAGAGTATAGAGATCACAAATAAATATGATCATCTCTTTGACGAGTAATGTTGGCGTATTTTTAAGGGAGTGATTCCTTCGCGCTACTGCAGAAAAATTAATTCTGGCATCGCCGTTGCTAGAGAGCGGCGTGCCACATTTGCACTCGTCCCATTCTCCCTCGCGTACATCAGATGAAATTGTATCATTTAATTAGTTTGCTTGGTCCACCGTCAACTGTTTGTTTAAGTACGGGCATGTGCGCTGTGAAAGCGGCGAAAAGCTGAAAATGAAAACGGAGAGGAAAAATAATCGGAGGTATAAGTTGAGCAGACTGTTTCTCTGAGAAAACTGGAAATGGAAAAATAACAAAAACCGTTTGGTGGATCATTGTAAACTTGTTGGTCCCAGCTGTATCTCCCGATGATAGATGCAATAAATATACGCTTGCAACGACGTTAACCAAGGAATGGTTTTCACCAAGAAAAAGACTGCAGTAAGTATCTGGCCATTTCTTTCTTCTCCAGCAAAAGTATTCAAGGAGAATCTCTCAAAAAAGAGAAAAATACTGTTTTTAAAAGAGCATATTTTGCGTGATCCATATTGTAGCTATTGTTTTTCTTAGCAGCCTAACTGAGTTAGAAACTCTTAAAGGTTGATGTCTTTCCTGACATAATAGGACTGGACAGATAGAGGATACGTATAATACAATGTACATTATATATTCTGATTAGTCCTACAATACTTTAACGATTCGACAAGAAATGGATTTGAACGGCGATCAAATTAACTAATTTTTGAGCTAAGGGAGGAAGGGAAAAAAAATTATGTATATACTTTTAAATCATTAACAAATACGTACAGGCATATAGCTTTCTCAAAAGAATTACTTCTCGTTATCAGCACATGCTGATCGCTTTGTGATATGAAACGCTGTTTAATAGAAGTATATATTTTTTATATTCAAATATAAAATAATCTCAGCACGTTCTAAACTTGCGTATTGTGTACGCGTATAAGCAGTTACCTCAAAGACATTGCGGGATACTTTTCTTTTGAATAATAGTAGCTAATGGTGAAGATAACCGCTACGTAAGCCAGATCCCACAGAGCGGAAATTGAACGGCACCTTTGTCATGCAAAACTCAAGCAAATACTACAAGCGCTTCCCTCTTTTCATTGCCTTTCAGTCACATAAATTACTTCAAGAAGTATTGTTTTATTTGAAGAAGCGTAAGAGCTTTCCGTCATAGTGGAGAGGAGCGAATGCAAACAGAGATTGTTTTCAGCGCCGCACGTTAATCATCCAAGTCAATGTTCTTTGGCTATTGATGAAATGTTTTGCAACGTGTTCGTTCGTCATGTAATCTTGATCTAACGGGTTTCAATCGAATTCGAGGTCTTTTGTACGCGAAAATGCGAATAAATAATAAAGAAAAAACTAATGGAATTAGAACGTGGAAACAAGGAAGTACGCGATCCAATTTTTCTCGAATTGCTGTTCATTTCCTTCTGACATTTAAATTGTTTTGAAATAAACATGGATTTCCTAAAAATATTGATAAATCAAGATAAAGATACCTACAAATTCTATTGCGTACTCTTCACGTTGAGTAAATAACAAAGAAAAGTGCTTGCGGTCGCGCAAGGCTATCTGGGCTGCCTGCTGTTGAAGTGCTTTTGCAGACTAAGGCTCCGTCCACACTGCACCAGAGAACTTTGAAAACGGCGTTTTCACTAAAAGCGCATCAAATGTTTTCCGGCTATACTATACACCGGAGAAATTTAAAAACGCCACAATCACTGGTCATTTTGGATTTTTGTCTGAGGAAAACACGGGCAGGGAAATTACAAGATTATCGCAACGTTATCGTTTTTGGAAAGCTCCGATTTCTAAATGTTTTCCGTCCACACTTAAACGCAAAGCTGGCGTTTTCAAATTCTTCCGGTTGGAAGAACGTTTTCGAAAAGCTCCATTTTCGTGTCGGATTATATTAGCGTGGAAATAAAGTTGCGTTTTCAAATTTCCTAGGCGTGGTGTACCGACTAACTTAACGAAAAAAAAAATTCAATAGGTTTCGAAGTAAATCATCGAGCGATAAATTTTTGAAGGGTAGTGAAAGGGAAACGCAATCTTAGTCTTTAAAGAGCTTAATATCCAAAAAGACAATCTATGTGTAATGACTAATGATTCAATATTGGCCGGATGGGATGAATGACAATCTATCAACTTAACAAAAAATTGTTCAACTTTAGTCTACCCCTGTCTAAAACACCATGCACCATAAACTAATTTTCATAAGTAGAGTTCTACTCCTAATATAATGCAAATGCTGTAATCTGATTGGCTGAGCTATCCAACCATTAGTGTTTAGTGGCTGCAGGTCGCTTACAAATTGGCGACGTTTTGTCGTTTCTCCGAAGTCTCGGAGGAACATTTAAAAGCAAATAAATAAGTAAATTGCTAAAAAAAAAAAATAAAGGACATTAAGGTTTTTTTTTGACATTAAAATTTCGATTTACTCGTGTGATAAGTATTTAATATACATATATTTCAATGGTAGTAAAAAAGTGACAATTCAGCTGCTGCGAAACATTCTCCAAAAAAACTGTTGAGCTGTAAACAACTGTAAATTTCAAACGACAAATCAGACCGCGCGATTTTCACGATAAACTAGGAGTTAAATACTACGTAGGAAAATAATGGGAAATCGTCATTAAATGGAACTGATTTCTGACTTCTATGGGGTGAAAGTTGATGAGGCTCATCAAATATCAGCTCATAAACCTCTCGACTTCATATCATAATCTAATTTTTAATTAGTGCAGTACACTGGGTGGAAGAGGATGTCCACATGATGGTAATGTCCACATAATGGTAACATTTTCTCACTTCTCCGATGCTTCGTGGAAGATTTAGAATATATTACTTGATAATTTAATTCCGAGCAACGCTAGAGTAGAAAAATGGACCGTTACGAAACTTTAAGACATCAAAATTTTCAACGTACTGATGAGCATGTGGAAACATTTGCAAGTTTCAAACAACAATTCGTTGCGCGCGCGATTTAGCCAAAGCGTGAAGTTTTGTACCCCCAGGTTTATACCGCCTTTAATTTGTAGAGAAATAATTGGAAATCGTTTTTTGAAAGAAATTATTTAGAATTCTACTAAAACAATTAGATTATTCCTACTTGGCTTTCAATTTTCCATTTGTTGGACAAATAAATTGCAAAACCAATCGGTTTGACGAAAAAAGAAGCTAAAGACTTTGCTGTCCAAACTCATAGTGAAAAGGTTGCCTCTTTCCACCATTTGCCTTATTTTCGGGCGTAGAATCAAAAGAATTGCCGCCTTCTACGATTTAGCCAATGATATACAATAGATGGCAGAATAAACTTGAAAGAAAGAAAAAGCTAAAGAGATAAAATAACGTAAACGTGGCCTTTGCTCGTGGCCGTTGGTAAAATTGTATGAGACTTCGACCGTTCTTATTTCTCACGTCGTAAATGATATCAATTCTGAAATGTATCTTGAAGATGTACTCAAACAAAACTTTTGACCGCAGATATCGACCGGCGTTGAATTCCAAAACTGTTTGGCTGTTGTCTGCTTTAATGTTTATGTTGTTGAGTCAATATCGCGGTACTCCAAAAGTCGGCAAGAGCCAGTCTTATAATGACAACATTATTTCCAACTATCTTAAGAAAAAATGATTAAGATTTTTTATCATTTTAAAAACATGGCGAAGGTTGATAAGTGCGGGTGGTCCTTTGTGCTTGTCATGTCCAAGTTGTATTGTACTATTAGCAAAATGTTGCAAAAAACATAAAATTTAGAAAAATTTGTTCACAGTAGAAGACTTTTCAAAAATTGGCATTAATGAGAAATTAGAACGGTTTAAACCAGGGTGTCGAAAGAAATTCTTGTTTGCATTTTTTTGTATTATGATATTTTTGATTCATGTTTGACTACTGTAAAATTGGCAAATTGTCGTACGTAATAAATAAATTAGAAAATAAGAAGGAAAATCTTGACAATTTTCGAAAGATTTATTGAAAATCAATGAGTCAAAAGAGAATATTGAGCACTGTACGGAAATAGTTAAATCGTGGTAAACAGCTGCCTCTAGATTCATTTTTTAAATGAAATAGACCTTTTAAGCTTGGGTAGTTTATTCTCCCATTACAGGCCACGTGACATTCTCTAGAGAATTATTCTTTTATCCATCTAAAAATTATTTATTCATATACACGAAACTATTTGAAAAATTGAAAGCCAGAATTCTCAAGAGCATCATCACATGGTCTGAAATGGCGCTACAAACCGCCAAAGCTAAAAAAGGCCATTAGCTGTGTCACTACTGAATATGAAGCGTTATTAGTCATATGTTCAGGCATTTGTTTAAATCTGTTAAACGAAGGAAAAACTTCCATCGTTGTGGGGATGCCTTTCCTGATACTATAACAAAGGAGTTTCGGCACTTGCTAGGTTTTAGTACATTTTGGAACTTTATAAGTGTATGATTATGAAGCAGAGAACCCAGTTCAATCAACAAAACCGAATGAACGGCCAAGAGATAAAAAGTCAAACGAGCGCAAAGCAAACAAATACCCGAGCACAACCAAACCAAACAAACAGACGGCCGAAAAAAACGGACAGGCGCCTGCATGCAACGACCAGACACCCCCGCTCCATCAGCCAAGAGAGGATGAAGGCTAAGAAAGTTAATACTCCATATAGGCCTTATTTCCAAGGTAATCCCAATTAAGTTATTTTTAGACATGGCACCCAGTTCTTCCATGGAAAATGCTACCAGAAACGCTGCGTGGATGTTTTAGTGGGGAATGAAAATGCATGTACAGCGGCTTGGGCTATCCATTGATCAATATTTGTAGACCCTCCCGAAATTTATGTGACCAGCAGTAATCCACAAATAACTAGAAAGAGGTTACCTTAGGAGTAAGGTCCATATGATTCAGGTCAGCATTGAACGATTTATCTGAATGGAACAAACAGTGCTTTTGTGAGAGCTTTTCAATTCTATAGTTTTGTTACGTAGTCTCTTGCCATCTTTTTAACCAAAAAGGTAAAAGAGAGCCAGAAAAGTCTATGTGAATGCTCCGGCATTCGTTTTGCATATTGGTAGGCTCCAGTTTCTCTCGGAACAGGAGTCACTTGTCACTTTCTTACTTTTTCGAATAAGGTCGAACACCGGCATCCAGATGTCCTTTGGCCTCGGTTTTTCGAGGTTATCGCAAGGTTTTTCAGTCGTCATATTACATTAAGGAGGGTCAACGGGTCCATTGTGAGCCAGAGTTGTGGTGAAATTAAGGGTATAACAGTTTGATTTAGCCGAGTGCCACGGTCTCACGGAACGCTTCTTTATCGACGGATACGAAACAAGCCGCTCGAAACGTCTTCCTGATCCTTAAGTATTGCCGTGTATTTTTTACGCGCTGTGATGCACTTTCGTTATGAGTTTGCTTTCAATCGATCATTCCACCTTTTTAGTGTTAAAATTTCATTTGATCCGTAAGCAGTTGACAATGAAAGTTAGTCGACGGTGATATTAAAGGTATACATTTGTGTGGCAGTTGAATCTCAGCCAACTAGAGGAAGAATGGTGACGATGTTACGTTACTAACGTTAAACGAAACGTGTTTACCGAGCATATATCAGATCCAATTTGCAATATCTATTCTGGCGCACAGACTAACACCTTTTCATCCAAACATATTAGGCTGTTCGTGGCCCTTATTTTGTCGGGATATTTCTGCGGAATGCTAATATCATAAACATGTACCATGAACGTGTTAATTTTCTTTTTCCGAGTATTGGTCTTTAGGCATCCTGTGACCTTGAAAGTCAAAACAGTGATCATCAACTAATTTCCCTGTAGAATATCAGCACATTATCAATCAGACGCCAAATAGACAAAATAATTGACACCAGAGTGTAGTCTTGATGCAAGATCAAATTCTCGCAACAAACTTTTAAAGAGTCGTAGCCATTTGCAAGGAGAAATGGTTTTAAACAGAACAAGAGATATCGTATTCAACCATCCAATATTACACACATGAACTCGTCAGCTGGTGTACCATTAAATCTTAGGTTTCTGCTTACGAAGGCCACCTTCCCCATGAGAAATTGGGAGCTCTAACTTAAACAGAGCTTATTTGTTTTTTTATTTTACAAGGGAGGAGAAATAGGGAAAAGAAATTTCAACTGCTTCAGTTTTACAAACATTTTTTCAAAATTGAATGATTAATAATAGATTAGGAGAGGATCCCTGAATAGACATTTAACTCATTGAAATAAATAAGAATTTTCGTAATATTTTTTCATAAAGCGAGCAAACCAATCTGTTTTGGGCTTGCTTTATGGAGGCGCTGCAAAACAATCCTGATCAAAAAAGTCAAGTTGTATTTGACGACAAAAAGGAAGGAAAAGAATGGCTTTAGGGTTATCTGAGGTAATTTCTTGAAGAAATAGCCAGAACAACATACTTTGTTCTCGAAGAAAAACTGTTAAAATTACTTTCCACAAAGAATTTTATAGTTTGACGTTTTTTTAACTTATCACAAACGATCAGTGACTAAGTGGTTTTCGAGACGCTTTGTTGTATTCTAAGAGACATCTGAGACTTATCACACGGCCTAGAAACACGAAACTTATTGCTCAAGATATCAGTTTGCATATTATGTTTTTGCATCGACAGAACAGTGCCATGGTCACTGCGATCAAACATCATCCACAAGTACTTTCGAACACGTTTTCTTTGCACTTCACTTAAGCACTTTGTAGAATTTTGCTCTGAAATTGGCAATTTGTATCCTCGTGCGATTCGCCACGCGCCCTTGTTATACCACTTTGCAGTGCGACCAAGAATGCCTCCCTAAATGTAAATTTGTAAACACAGTCCAGTGTCTCAAGTAATTTGATTTTGTTTGCCTTTTGTGCAGTTCCAATGGGCTTTGTGCCCTGTCTATAATTGTCAACCTACGACTACAATTATGGCTTGGTGTATTTGACAACTCATTACCCATATTAGGCAAACAGGTGATACTTCTAAGCAGGTGGTGAAACGATTAAATTAAATTTGTGTAGAAAATCAGAAATGTCTGCTTAGTTTACCTTGGAATTAAGCGGTTTTCACCACTTTAACACCTAGCACCTTAGATCAAATCGATCAGGGGTTCTCCGAAGAGATTTTGCGGCTTATCGTCGAGATCTCGCCAAACATCGATTGTTTATCAACTGACATTCGGACGAAATTTGATTCAGCGGCCACAACACCTTTCAAATTGGACGACAGCTCTGCTTTCTAAAAGCGCATTAAAATTAATGAAAATCACCATAAACTTCGCATACCCGGACGGACAAGTCAATTTGGGTGACAACAATATCCACAACTTTAAATTCGCTCCTGTGTATGCGTTGAAGAAGAGGATAATTTCCCGGCTTCTCGAGGAGTTCGGAAGAGTCCAATGACCACATCTCAGGATGATTATGTTTAATTCTTTAGCGGTGCTTGCAAGGGTAAGTTGGTGAAATGTTTTCACATGCTTCAGGCTTGAAATGCGGCGCATCTCCTTGTAGCTACAGGTATTTAATCTGCTTGTTTTTGCCTTACCCAGATTAGCCTTGTGATCCTTGTGCTGATGCTGACCGTCTCGGTTAATAATGGAGGTAAGCTAATGTTATTTTTTGCTTGCATCCCGTCTGAGTAACCTGGGTTGTCTGTGGTCGTAGCAGCGACCAGCATTATATCAGTTTGCGCGTGGAATTTTAGTTTTCCAAGAGCACAAAATTTGCGAAATCATTTATTTCCCGTTTAGTGTAACAGTTGAGGCAAATCTGGAAATGAAAGGGCAAAAATATTGCTTTTTAACTCTCGTCACCTCAATAAATATCGCGAAGCTCGGGGTGATTATTAAGTCCGCGCCATACTATTGTGACTTTGATAGTGTTGGGTTTGTGAATGGTTCGAATTCTTTTGAAAAGTTAATTGTACAGTAAGAAAAAACGAGAAAAATTAGAAAAGCATTGTTAGACAGTGTTTGTGGTAAAATCTGACACTCACTTAGTATCCCTTTCTGGACCGCAAATGTATACAACAAGCTCATCCTCGCGTGAGTTTCTTGACTGGGAAAAAGGTAAAATAATTCCATTTTTTAAGGAAATATACGACATAGCCCAACAAAATGAATCAGTGTTGCGACCTTCAATAATTTCCAAAAATGGCAAATGAAAGAAGGCGATGCGAAAGTTGAAAGCCACAAGCGTCTATTGTGAAAACAAACGTGGCTAGATTTGCGATATGAATAATACAAAAACAAGCATTTTTTTAACCGGATAAAATATGCAATACAGAAATGAGTTGTGTCTGAGCTCAACATGCCCCAAAGAAACTCAACGTGAACTCAACAGGCCCAGCGAGAAATTCAATGGAACCCTAACGAGCTTTCTCAATCGGGCGCATTTTTAAATGAGACGAAAAATTTGAAAACCGTGGTTTTTGAGTTGCTTTCTTAGTGTCGTTATTACCGATAATTGCTCTTCTTTGTGTTATTTTCATTAACACTTTTCGCGTCAGCTCCATAAGGGAAGTTATTTCCGAATAAAGTCCAATAATTACGCAACTTTTGTAAACACGCTTATCCCTCGTTCAGGAATGAACACATCTGTAGGCATTATCGGACGGTCTTTAATTACAGCTAATAAAAAGTCTCTTTGGGTCTTGTCATATGCTCTGTAGTCAATTCATTTTCTTTACGCTATTTTTAGTAAGAAGAGAAACATTTGCATTAGAAAGCCTTAGTTTCAAAGACGAAGGTTTTTTAACAAATGTGTGATTCTGTCGTAAGGTTTGAAATTTATATTTTCATAGAATAACGATATCTGTATTCTTTAGTGTTTCTGTTATCCTTCACTTGATGTTTAGGAAAATCAAAATTCTCAACACTTGTTTGAAAGTCAGATAATTGATCAGAACCTTTAATTTCTGGAACAACATCCTTTAATATTTTAGAACTTTCATTGCTCGGCACGCCTGGATATCCAATTAGAGTTTAACTTGAAGAATTTCCATGAAGTACTCCCACGAAATGTAAAACTATAGCTTTCGAGCATAAATAACACTTGCTCATCATACATTTTTTATGACAGACACGTACGAAACTGTTTGTAAATGTAAACGCTTGCTAGAATATACGTAGAGTACGAGACCATTCTCCATAAATTATACGTCACGGTTTGTCTCCAAGCCTGCCGATCCACGAGGGCTGGAAGCAAAGATCACGGGAGAAAATCATCAAGTTATTCTTTTCACCGCACACGAAGAAGAGCAATTGGTTCGGAAGGAGTTGTTTTTGGCCATAGATGTAAACATCCCTTCACAAAGATCTTGCGGCAATTTTCATGTGGACCCAAATTGAACGCCCATAATCAAATGAAAAATGCAAATGGCGTGAAAACAAAGCAGAATGAAATTATATTCTTAACAAAGTCGTCCCCTGGTAGGTAGCGTGTATTCTTTCCAGCTGTCTTAACTACTGACATCTTTCAGTGCCAAGGAAAAAAACATCAGTTATTTGTGGAAGAAACAACTTTTTTCCAAACAATGAACCATTTTCAAATTTCCTCCTTTTTTGATGCCAAAGAATGCCTTTCTTTCAACATGTCGCAGTTCAATTGAAACGTTTAGAATATACTGTGAGTCCTTTAAAGCCATTGACTGTGTATCGATAGAAACATGTCAAGTCCGAAAATCGCGCCTAATTATTCAGGGACTGAATTTTCACCATCCCATTTTTTGGAGTAATTAATGGCTTTCTCATGTGATATTAGCAAAGAATGCCAAAATATATTTTTTGCACATTCCATCTGCTAAAATACTCACTTAAATGTTTTCAGTTGAATGTTTTACTTTCCTTCATAACGATCAGAATGACGCTGTATTTAGAGATGTTTGTTTTAGAAGAGAGAAAACGCGACCGCAACATCTATGAGAATACGCAGAAACCACAATTTGTTGCAGCTTTTCACCTTTCCTCCAAGTTTGTCACCCGGGTCTCTAAGGGAGCGCAACATACCGATAGCACATGTTCAAAAATTAAAAATGTTGACATGACTCCGAGACTTTCTGCCCCAAACAGCCAATTTTCGAAGATTCCTTTCCTTCGGAAAAAATGAGATTTTGGCCGGTATTTTACAAGCTTTCTATAAGTTTAAATTTGGAGTGAGTTTCTGTCTCGTCTCCTGATCTCATTAGTACGGACGAGAAAAAGCAAAAGGTTGTCTTCGTATCAAAAGAAAAGTCGTCCTTAGTAGTCTCGGTATATTTACTGTAGTGCTCTTATGGGATATCGTAACAGAGCTCTGGTTAAGCAGGTCTTCCATCTTAGTACCTTTCAATCTGATATTTCTCAGTTCTTCGTAATCCAGTTGCTCTACCCATAATGTACTGTTTAATATCTCTACTAAACAAAGTGTGATGGAAGATTGCAGGGAATGGGGATTGTGATATTTGACATAAATTCCCTTTCTGACTGCTTGCAAGAAACTGATCGTCTCGTTCCGTTTTAGAGGTTCGTATAGAGGACATAGGACGCACGTTCTCCAAGGTCATCTGCCAAGGAACGACGGTCAAATGGAATTGCAGAAACTCGTCTCTTGCAATGGTTATTTATACTGCTACCTACGGACGTGAGGAGTATGGTGACACTGTCTGTCCTTTTAAAAAGCCCCTCGTCGATGACTCAGTGATTCAGGCTAATGACACAAACGCCTACTCAAAATGCCCTTTGAAGAATATCACCGTACGGATTATGAAACTGTGTGACAAGAAAAAGCGTTGTACTGTTACCGCAAATAAAACTTACTTTGGAAATCACTGCAAAGGAGTTTACAAAGTTCTTAAAGTTATTTACGCCTGTGGTGAGTATTTTTTTAGTTATTAAATTACTACATCTTATTGTCGCTTTTCGACTCATGGCCCAAATTTTCTCTTGGAGTGTGGTGACACAGTACAAAAAAATGGTAATGCAACAATTTTGTCCACATATTTCCTGAATTTCAAACAGCCTCCTTGGAATCTCCTCTTCTTGTATTCTGTAGCCATCTCTTTAAATTGTCTCACTTGCAACTTAAGATCCGACCTTTTCTCTCACGATTATACTTCTCTTCTTTCCTTTTTCTTCTTCAGTGAACAAACATGAATTAAAAATCAGGACCCTTCCTCTATACACTACAACACCTAGTTACAGCACTACTCCTGTCACTTTATCCACGTCTTCACCCAAAGTAACACCCACACGTAAGAGAGTAACAACCTTGACCAAACGAAAAAAAAGTCGCACTAATTCTACTGTTAGAAAGAGTCGAACACGCACAACTAAAGCACCTCAGTCCACAAAGCACACTTCTGGGTCGAAAACCCTCGCTGAGACAACTTCCAAACTTTCTACTCTATCGTCTACCAATCTATCGACAAAAGCGCCGGTAACGATGACTAACAAGCCCACTAAAGTGACACCGACAACGTTACCAATCGTTTCTAAACCGAAAACGACTAAGAAACGCACCCGGGCAACGATCACTGAACCAAAGACGGTAAGTAAAGGTGTCATTACGTTGAAACCGAACGTTACGGTCTTAACTTCTGAAGCTAGTGTACCAATAACCATTCCTATTGTGTTAACAAATACAACAATAACCACTGAACGACACCAAAAGTCTAAGAATCCAACCACGTCCACAGGTGTACCAATCACGATACAAGTGAACTGTACCAACTGCACATTACCAAACGGGACTCTTACCTCCATACCCACCACTTTACGACCAATTATACCGACAACTCACAGGGGACCTTCATCCAAGACAATTTCCAGTGGTGCACCAGAAGTCATGGGGGTGGCAAGACCAGAGGCCGTCATAGGTGTGTCAGGATCACTTTACCTTTGGTTTCTTCACATGAAAGGTGAGATACGCATATACAAATTACACGTGAATAACGTTAGTGTATTAAGGGTAGCAACAAGGTTAAGAACACAGAGAATCTAGGATTCTCTTTTATTTGAAGTATTTAGGATTCTCTTGTGCTTGTAGTAAATATCCGTACGCCATAGAAGTTTTTGAAGTTGCACCTAGCTCTCTGGAATGCTTGGCTTTCTATTCCCATGACAATGCTTGGCCTGCTATTCCCATGACATAATTCGCTTTTTGATGGATAGAGCCAGTCGTACTATGGTTGTAGATTCTGGTGTGCGTTGCTAACCTGAGTATCATACTTTTCTTACTCGCGGGGTAGGAGGAGGAAACAACAGGAATAACATCGTCAACAAAAACAACAATTACAACATTAATTTGGACCAGAAGATAAAAAGATACCCTGATTAAATAAGGGATACAAAAGATATCCAAGTATTATGGACCACAGATATACACTTTTTGAGAAATCAGACAGTGATCTCGCGAATACTTGTCAGTCCAGCAGTTGTCCGGTTTCCTAGTAATTCTCCGATCATTCCAAGTCATCACTGAGAGCCTACATTCCGATGCGGAACAAATGAAACGTCCTTCAGGTGTTTATCGCATTTTTTTGCAGACGAACAATAGATCACTATTTTACAACTTTTGGTTTAATCATTTGCAGACAATTCTTCGACGTACACGACGGTGTTTCTCCTGAGCGCATTGGGAGCAGCAATTATAATGGTGGCAGTTGTAGCTTGCTTTCTAACCCTCCAGAAAAAGAAGGAATTCCTGAAGCTTGACATAATGCACCAACCCAAAAGATTCATAGCTCCACCCAAGGATACGAAGACAACTAACCAGAACGGACATGTCCCCGGAAAAAGTGAGAAATTACCCGACGCGGAGGAAGCACCCGATGGAATGCTTCCAAAAGGACCTGAGGTTGTATTCACCGCCCATGACGTAAATAATCATGTTCCCAAAGAGTTCAATATCGATAGGTGAGAAACCGAGACTCATTTCATTAATTCTGGGCTTATCGTTTGAAAGACTTTGGAGTTTGCATCAAAATATCAAGAGTGAAAGGAAAAAAGGAAGAAAAAATCCCCTAATAACATCAAAGGCAAACGAATAACAAATCCAAACGAACAACAAAGCCAAGAGCGCAACATGTACAGAATGAGATCTTGAGTCGCCAAGTGTTTTTATATCTGTCTGGAGTAAGGAACTATGGTTTTGGGAGGGCGTTTTTGTCGTAGGGTGACTGTTGCAACTCATCTTATTTGCATTCAGCCGAATCAAAGTAGAGTTTTTCGGGTCGACACCTGCTGAAGGTGAAAATGTGTTTGAATGCAGTTGAAAAAAGTAAATGAGCTATTTAACAAAGCAGCCTCACGTTTTCAGCACATATTTTATTTGTTTATTGGGAATGTTATCTACGATCCCTTTTCACGTTCGGGAGCGATAATGCTGCGAGTGATAAATCATTTACATGAGTCAAACAGTGAATAAGATGGGTTCCCAGACATTCATGTTCAAAACTAACTGTTGCTTAAAAAGTTACACTGTCAAACTCACTGATGAATGCCTTTAAATATTTAAAACAGATATTCTGGTATGGAAAATGGAACAGTGAAGAAAGTCGATGGAACAGGTATTCATGTCAACCCTCTGTTTAACGGTAGCAATAGTAACAAACCTTCAGGCTCGATCACCAATTCAAACCCAGGTAATCAGCGTGGATGTGACGCGGTTTCCAGCCTTCCATCTACTCCATGTCGAAGTCGTACTCTAAGTGAGCCCAGAACCGGGACACCACGACGCGGAAGAGCCAACAGCACCGGTAATGTATCTCGTAGTCATGAACGGCACCACAGTCAAGGCATGCCTGATTATCCTGACGAGAGAGTACGACTTCCTCGTCACCTCAGCGCTGGAAACGTGTCTCATCACCATCGACACGGAACGCAATCAGATCACGCTTTGCAAAGTCAGTCACCCGCAAGAACCCTACCCCGCCAGAGGGCAGCTACAGGAAATGCAGCATATAATCAATCGCCCGTGCGAAATCCTCTTAACTGGCCTCCACATGGACAAGCAATACCTGCCAATGGAACATCTAACCCTGGGATTATAAGCAACTCCTCGCCAGCGAGATCGGTTCCAGACGGTACTTTGGTAAATCAGTATCCCACTACAATTGGCAATTTGAACAACAGGCAGCAAAGCCCCGGAGGTGTAACGCAACAGCCATCACCCTCTAGAGGTGCACAGTATAACTCTCTTGGTCATACGGTGAAGCAACCCTGGACCACTGGTGAGGCACCCAGCACACCCTCACAAAATTCAGGGTCATATCAGCGGGCAAATCCGAACTCCCCAGTGAAATTTTCCAATCCGTCTAATGTAGCATTGGCATCTGACGGCAACGCGGGAACACCAACACCTTACTCGGCCCATCGGAACACCCCGAAATTAAACAGAAAATGGAGTGAGGAGAAACCGACAAATAATGCTGCTCCGAATATAACAACAAACCCAAATTACAACAATAAACCTAGCGATATTTGGCAGAAGCACAGCGAGTCAGGGCAAAAAGATGGAAGCGGTAAAAGCTTAAGCAGGGACCAAGGGAGCATACCAGGCGGTACTCTACAGCGCAGGAATGTTTCTTCTGAAAAATGCTCTCCTCAGGAGCAAGATGCTAAAAAAGGTACGCTGCGACCTCTTAGCACGGGGGAACTTCTTTCCCCTTTGGATGCTTTGCCAGAAACATACGCAGATAACCCCAGTTTGCGTATATCTGACCGGCATTCTTACAACATCACTCCAGGAACTTCATCTTTTCACCCTTTCTCGCCTCCGCCCCCAGATTTACCAACAGACAGTTCCGATGATGATCTTTATAGTATCGTAGCGAAAGGCACCTATTCTTCCGCAGCTCCAGATCCTAATTTAAGAAAAACCGGTGTGGCTCGGTCTATGTCAGATGGAAGAGAAAGAAAAAGCAAAAACAAACATGTATATGTAGTTATACCGTCAGGAGATGGTTCAACCGCAGTGTAGATATATCTTAACCACAATGGTGGAAGGTGGAAGTCTATCATGAGACTAGACTGGTAATCCCTGAAACAAACAGAAGTTCTCTGTTTTCGCGTCACAGATTAGAAAACCTAACATGATAATCACAACCAGTATTTTGGGGAGCTCAGTCTAATGTAGGGCCATGAAATAGTTAATTGTAGCGCGCGGCAATCATCTTTTGTTATATCTTTATCTCTTTTGGAAGTGGTTTATGTCTTAGGGTTCTGGGTTCTAATGTACTGAAGCTGTTCTAACTACTCTGGGGGTGGAGGAATATTTCTGTATCTTTGACTTGCACTTTTTCTGCTTTGACTGTTCTTTCCTATCATTCTCTACATAACCTCTTTACTAACACAGTGAAACCTAACTGTGTAGCTGACGGTGTTTTGTTTACTTACTTCAGAGGTAGGAAATGCCAATGATAGCAATGCTGATGCTCTTGAACCACAGAATGCCTCGGAAAATTCTGTCATGGACAAAATTTTGGGGCTGCCTCGATTATTGTTCGGAAAAAGAGAACGGGAACTGCCAACAGAATAACGTTGATCACGGAGTTACAGTGTAAAACACAGTGGAGACAGATACAGTGTAATTTCTAACAAACGACATTTACTGCTCCGCTATAAAGACTACTAATCCTTTATGACAAGTAAGCAGGAAATCCCCTAAAATCACAGACGATAGTCAGCAAGTACATTAACGAAAAGTTAACATGACAATGGAAAGGAAGGTCAAAGGGTGAATCAAAGAACGCGAAGCAGAAAAGATCGGCTATTTACTCTAACAGTCTGAAACGGGCCTTAAGATAGAAATGGGCCTGCATTGGACTGAGTATTCACAAGTAGCGGATGTTAAAATTGCCATGTCGTAATTTATAGATTGGAAGCTGCTTCTTCAGTGTTATTTAAAGTCTATAGCTTTAGGGGAGAATATTTATCAAAGGAGAATATTTGCCAAATTGAGACTGATAGCTGTAACGTTAAAAGTTTCTTTGATTGTGGTGGAATTCGGTAGATACCTTCTTCTGGGACTTTATCAGGGAAAAAAATGTTCAAAACGACAAAACTCAGAAGTAGCTCCCACATGACCCAGCAAAATGAATTTTGAATAGAGAACATTTCGACAGAAGTGATGTAGCTGTAAGAGAATATAAAACTTAGGCCATAGTGTAATCTACAGACGTACTACCTGTGTCAGATGGAAACCTTTTTGAGCAGTTTAGCTCTGTTATCCCTTAGAGTACGAGGCTTAAATTACTTTCATATTTAAGTCTACAATACTTGATCGTTCTTCTCATCAGTATTCACTGAAACGGCCACGTGATGTTTTATTTACAGACTCAAAACTTTAGCCACTTGTACAGCATAATAAACAGTACCACCAAGAGAGGATGAGTGGTAAGATAGACCATATTCCCAAGGTGATCCCTCACAAGTAATGTTTAGATCAATTCCGGTATCAGAAATCCCGGGAGAGTATAGCAATAGCCAATCTTGTGAAGCAGATTTTGTTCACCTGTGCAGCTCAAGCAGCTTTACATTCGTTTTCATACCTTTCCACCGCCCCCTCCTAAAACGAGCCCACAATGCGCATGGGTGCTGAAAATGACTGGCCATTGTCTAAAAATATCTCGAGAGGATTATGTTGGGAGAAAGGCCTTTATAGAGATTAACTCTGTTACCCTTTATTCTCTCTTGGTACTACTCAAAAGCAATCATTTGATCAGGCCACATACTGGGGTTTTATTCACGTGCGTACTAGACACGAGGTCGATTCTGGGAGAGAAAGGTTCAAAAATTGTTTTAATAATGTGCAAATAGAGTAACGCAACAATTAAGGGCATTACGTGAACGTGAAGTCTACGTCTCCCTACTTTTCTTGCGAGGACTACCTCGTCTGAAGCAGATATCCAAAAAATTGTCAAGGCGATGGTTTCTTGTCACCTCGTCTGTTTAACGCTCCATTGCAATTAGGAAAATTTGAATGTTTCTTGTGGGGACACTCTTATGGGGACAGGCCTCGACCACTTACAAGGACTGCGTCCCATCGGCGAATTATGGGGACATGTTTATGAACGCCAAATAACTACCGACCGATAATATACATATATGACACTACTCGATTCTGATTGGTTCAGCGAAGTCCCAGTGCAACACCAGTGCAAAGAGCGGTTGTTTCATTAATTGTCCAGAGTTTGGACAAACAATAGCGTGAATCTAATTTGTAACGATTATGTGTGTAGTGATTATGTGAAAAAACAATCAGGAGTGCATTCTGTTATATTTCCATGCTTTGATCTTGGCAAGCTTTCTGGAACACTAACTAATCTGCTGTTAAGGGCGAAAAATTGCTTTCTCAAAAACAAACATTCCCATTCTTGTGAGGATTCAAGATGTGTATTCTACAGACCAACCGGCTTCTGCAGACTTCTCAGAAGTCCCCTTGAAATAGGTCTACTTGAAAATAATTATTAATTTAAGGGATCTTTTTCAGGGAACCCGAAACCCTCGCAATCCCCACAGAGCTGGTGTGGTTTTATACACAACTTTGCGATTTGTTTCTGCCCCCAAACTGAAGTAAATTGTATAAACACCACTTTTCAGAGGTCAGAGTAAGTTGGTAAAGTGGTCAGCCCATCTAAGACATGATTTTTTAGTTCATTCCCTTTAGAGTATTAGACCAATTGAACAGATAAATATTACATGGAATTATTTTCAGGATGTCTGAAAAAAGCTGGCCATTGATGTAATTTATATTGCTTAAGTATCTACAAAGCCGGTGGATACTAATCTCTTGCATTTGTAAACGAAGTCACTATAGTTTAACGAAAAATCGACATAGTGGCCGGCCAACGGGTGTTTATATAATTTTGGATCGACTCTAAGGATATGCTATTGTACTTGTAATATAACGATGAAGCGCGAATTCGAATATTAAATAGGTCAGCAATTCGTACGTGTGATACAGATGCCATGTAAAATTTAGTCATCTGATAGTAAAATCCCAAAATGTTCTCATGGCACATGGCTCAATTCCATTTTCACACGCACGCATTGCGGACGTACTTTTGTGCAAATAGCTAACGTACGTGAATGACTACCTTGTCTGCAACGTATGCGTAAAAAATCTTAATGATCTTCTTCTTAGTCTTATGAAACACTAATTAAAATGTAGAAGCATAAGGTCTTCACGTCCACAATTCTGATAATATTCCGGGCAGTCTGGTCAGGCTAATAGATAAACGATTGTAATTCAACCATATTGTAATGACCGTTTGCAGCTAAAACGACGATAAAAGGCAAATATTAAATGGATTTAGCCTTCTACGTTGTTGACCCTAACTTAGGGAGTTAAGCTAAACTCGCGGTGGCATAAAACTAGACAATTACTGATTTCAGCTTTCAAAACGATAAAGCTAGGTTTTACAAAAGTTAAGCGCAAAGCAATTTTATACAGATCTAAGCCATGGTGTGAAGAAGATATTAGATAGCAGATGTATGATTGAGGGATATGTTAAGGGTTTCAATAAACAAATACGAAAGTAAAATAAAATGTAACCGTTGAAACAATCACGCGAGTGAGGGATTTTTTGCCTGTTATTTTAAAGTTAACCCTCTTCCATTTCTGTCATGTTGTTCATTAGACCTTGGCTAAAGTTTGCAACACTTCGCAAACGAGGAAAAATACACGAAAAGTCGTTTTGTCATGCCGTCGGGCGCCATTTTGTTCATTAAATAAAACCTATGAGGGATTCCAAAATTCATCACGACTCCAAAGTTAAATAATTTCCATAAAACCTGAATTCATGACGCCGTTTTTAAGGCGGGAAATCATATAACATCTGATTCCCATAGAAAAACTGTATATCTGAAGTATCTGTACCTTGAACGTTAGAGGCAAAACTGTAAAAAACCCCTTGTTTTTAAAGCTTACACTTTCAGAAAGTAATTATGCTTTCGTCCCAAAGAAAAATTAAAAAATTAAGCTGGTCTGTTCCTAATTAAGACTACCCGAAGTGAATATTTCAAGAAATACTTGATTTTTTAGTACAGACAGGAGCCGATTTTTCAGGTGTGTGTAAACCAGAGGGAGACTTGTGCAGGTACATGTACGGCAGTATCTCACGAGAAGACATTAAATGAATATCTTATTCCATGCCTCTCTTGGGCAGATAATATTGTGATATTCTACCCTGGGTAAAAAGAGTTTCATTGCAGTAAACAAAAATCCTGCTGTAATTTTGGCAACAATCATTTTTTTTTTCAGAGAAATAGTGTAATATTCTAACCTAGGTTTTGTTAATCATGACATTGTAATAAGTTATGGAGAATCGCTCTGGCCTGGGGCAAGCCTAAGACCAGGCAAGAATAGAAGTGAATAGCTAGATCAAGCCCGAATCACTCGTTGGGTGGAAGGGTGGGTCACCAAACTGTTGGCTTTCGCGCCCTCGAGTTGAGTGATGGAGTAATACACGTGGAAATTATTTTATACTGTCATTTACATAATCCAAAGAGTTTCAATTACCAATGTAAATTGAGTTTGCATAGTGTCGGCTAGACTGGTAAAACCTCGACTTTTTTAATAAACTGGAAAAGCTTGTTGACGTATCGGGTGGGTATATCCCCCTTCGTCTGGTTTCATCGATTTTCGAACCCCATAAAGAGCTGTTTATGGAATTTTTTTGGGGGAGGGGGTGGGGAAGGGATATCACTCATGGTTCCAACTTCGTGCAAAAAGAGTTTCTTGTATTTTGTTGCCGTTACGTTTTGCTTTTCAGGTTTTTCGGATGCCTTAAACTGGCTTTATGTAGACAGCCGAATTCGAGAATTAGGATCATTTGGGACGCGTTCCATTCGACCAAAATTTCCAGAAATTCCGGTTCAAAATCGAATGGAACAGAAAGATTCTGGATACTCGTTTAAAATATTTTGGTCAAATATTTTGGAAATTCCGGAAACTTCCTGTTCCTTTCGGCATTTCTACCTGGTACGAATCGGCCCCAGTTCCTCTAGTCGTGAAAAGCCACAAGATTGCGTCGAGTCGACACTACCCTGGATGCAAAACGATCTGCCACAGTTCGAGCCTTTTATTGATTGCCTATCCTCCACAAAAACGTTAGGATCTGCTTTTCTAGAAAATTGTGGACTGGTCGTTCCGAATTTCCTGTGGGCATTTGACCGGTTTGCATAATCCCCCGCGAGAAACGTTCGCGAGAAAAGTTTCTTATCTCACGAAAATAGTTCTTGAGTCGGTCAGGTAAATATCTCGGAAGAGTTTACTTAAAATAATCGTGAATAGCCGTTTTTATACTAGAGGACGCATCATTCGTCCAGAAGGATAATGCGTCCTCGCCGTTTTTATACTAAAGACGCATTATCCGTGTGGACGAACTTGGGCAAAAATTTGTAGCTCGTCTGGTTATGCGTCCCTAGTATAAAGACGGGCACAAGACGTATTATGCGTCTAGACAAACTCTACTTCAGAATTCGTCTTGAACGACGAACTAGGAGAAATAGTCTTTATACTAGAGACGCGTAACCAGGCGAACTACAAATGTTTGCCCAAGTTCGTCCAGACGGATAATGGGTCTTTAGTATAAAAACGGCCAATGTGCGTTAAATTTCTTCGCATCAAGAAGCTTACTGCACTTAAGACAGCCAGTTCAACATTATCCTTCAGCATTTTGTCGAGTAAATCTTGGCGGGAAATGTGCACAAGCGGGAATAGAACGAGATCGGTCCGGTGGTGAAAAATACCGTCCCATTCGACATGCGAAAATTTCGGTAATTCAAACCACAATTTTTGGTCGAATGGAATGCGCCCTCGTTTACGATATTCTGATTGGCTGTCCTCTTGTTACGTAATTGTTTTGATAGTCAGAGGAACTAGGGGACGTTTCGAGTAATCGTTTATCAAGCACCGGATGAGTTCGTTTCGTCTTAGCTTTCACTTTTCTGTTTCCGGTTTAGTAAGTAAAGACTTTATTTAAAGAGGGTAGCACTAAAATAGTATAAAAATGCTAACAAACCAGTGGCCCTCTAAAAATTATGTACAATACGGATGTTAAAACTATGGCATAACTATGAGATAATACAACGAATAAAAATACAAGAGATAAGAGATAAAATCAATTAAAAGTACTTATTGTTTAGCAATAAGCACTGGGAGCAAAATGAACGCCAACGGGGAGCAGTACCTTGCAGTCCTAATTTACGCCATTTTCTGCCTCGTAACTCTAACTGGTAAGGTTATTTTTTGAGTTGCTGTGTGTTTTATAGAACCTCATTGCTATGTTCGTCTACATTGTGATACGCAACTTCCCGGGTGACTTGCCTGCACTTGTCGATGCGTGGCAACTTCAGTTCAGGACGGATCTTACAACGTTTTTCAACAAGTAATCATACAGCAATCGTAAAAGTTTCGTCTCCCTTTGCAAAAAAATTTTACCGTTTCAACTGACCGTTTGGATGAGCACATTACGTGAAAAGGCACATGTTCACAAGTGATATAAACCGTTTCTTCAATTCTTGTCTTCTATAACATATTCCCACCCCGATCAGGTCTCTTTATATTTTTCTGGAGTTACATGTTGTAGCTAATTATTTCTTTTGGCTTAAGTTATCGGTAGATAGTTTTATACTCGAACGTTAGGGTGCAAAGTAATGGAGAAATATTGCTTGGACGAGGCTCAAATACACGTTTGCCTGCTCGTACGTTATGTCACGCTTCCACGTATCGCGTGACGGGTCCTAGTCAAGTTTTACTAATAAGCACTCGGGGCTTTTACTAATATTTGTTTTCGTGTGTTTAACAGTAGTACAAGTAATAATGTATATAGCAAGCAATTCTGCGATAATTTTAACCATTCAGTTTTTATAGTTCCTTTTTCCTCTCTCATATTTTCTTCCGTTCAATTTTGTTCCAAGTTTGTTCCTTCATTCTTCCTCAGACTTATAATTCGCTTGCGCGTGATTGGGCTAAACGCATCACGTGACTGAACATGTCCCAGCTAAAAATGGGGAATATCCGAGTGATATTCGCCAATGCCAAAAGAGCCCGCGTATTGCAAATAATGTATTGGCATTATCGGACAATCTGGTCCATAATTTTAGCGTGTCTTAGCAAACAATATTGTGTGTTTGCAAATAATATTCGAAGGATAATAAACACAATAGCCTCCATTTGGTGTTAAAAATGTGCTTAGAAATTTCTCCTTGGACATTATCTGTTCCTTGAAGCTTGCAGTTTTCCTTGAGCTTTGCTCTTGGAAAACTATTTGCTTCCTGGAACAGATAATGTCTGCGGACAAACATCCGAACATATTTTTGTGTCAAATGGAGGGTACTGTTTATATACACCTTAGGTCTTGTATGTTCGAGAACACACACGTATTTACTTAGTTTGGGTGGAAAATATCATAATATTTAATTATGCACAGCAAAATTGGTGCCTTTATTAATTTGGTCATCAGTCAACAGCAAAGAAGGAATACCTTAGAAACTTGAATAAACACCATGTTAGGTTCCCCGAAGGGTACATAAAGCTATCTGCCAGATAAATCACTATCCTGTGGATTAAAGCATTGGCAAAACAAACTACACTATCCACTGGATAGTGTTACACACCCTTTGAACAATTTGAGCCCCAGATACACATTAAAAAAAAACTTCTTACGGGTGTAGCTTCCACTTAGTGTCACCCTTAGCCTCATGTAGGCATTTAATTAGATGGAGCGCAGGGAAAAAGGTAGCAAAAACAAATATAGGGGAGAAGCGTGATGCGGGCAGGTGATTTCGCTCCCTGCACCAAGCCCCTCTCTTTCTTCATGCTGCACCCCAACTAACTGAATGCCTGGAAGAGGCTATGTCACCCTTGAATAAGTAAGCATTTTATTGCTGGTCAATAGTTCGAAAATCTTGAGCTCAAGAGTACTACTTATTTGAAAAGACTTATGCAACAATGCAGCTACTTGACTCTGGGTGGGAGAGCTACTTTGACATTTTATACTCAGTATTGCTTGGTCTTTTCTTGAATAAAATGGGGCCTTTATTCAAAAATGTTTCTTAGTAAGTCTTAAATAAAGTATACTAGCATGCTGCCGCCAAATACATTCTAAGCTCAAAAAAGTGCTTCCAAAAAAAAAAAAAAAAAAAAAAAGTTCTGTGACACTTTTTCAACTAAATATTGTAATTTATATCATTGCTTCAATATTTGCATTGGCTAACTGTTTGGCTAAGTAGTAGCTGTTTTTAGCTTGTAGCTAGCCTGGGACATAGAAAAAAATTATCAATCCCTCACAAGATGACTCTGCACACAGGTCAATGCATATGCCCCATAGCACTGAGCTATGGGGCACAAGTAGGGACAAGGTGTAGGAAAACTACCATTTTTGGTAAAATTAGGTAACAAGCTCTGCTGTTCTCAAGGATGGCTCACTTGCAAATGTGCTACTTTTTCATCTGTAACATAATTATATAAATTGTAATTTTACAACACCCTTATAAGTTTGATTCTTTTGGGGTAGTAAATATGACCTGAAATACTAGTCATTATGTAACGAATTCTTAGG